TGCATCTTCCTTGGTTCCAACCTTATTTCCTGGAGTTCGCGCAAACAACGAACAGTTGCTCGCTCTAGCACCGAAGCAGAATACAAAAGCCTAGCAGACACCACAGTCGAGCTCATTTGGATAGAGTTTCTACTTCGCGACCTTCGGGCACTACCTTCACACCCGCCTGCACTCTAGTGTGACAATCTCTCGGCTATCTATCTCACTACGAACTCGGTTTTCCATGCCCTCACAAAGGATGTGGAGATTGATTTTCACTTCATCCAAGAACGCTTGGCATGCTGTCAACTCTCGGTTCATTATATATCAACTATCGATCAACCAGCCGACATTTTCACCAAAGGACTCTCATCAGCTAGATTTCGAATGCTTCAAACCAAGCTGACTATCCATTCTGCCCAGTCAGCTTGCGGGGGGATGTTAAGGGAATCAATCAATCACCGAAATTCAAGAAATCAGCAACAATCAAGAAATCTGCAACAATCAAGCAATCAACAACATTCTGGTTCCACCAAAGAAGGAAAATTGGAAGAATCAAACAAAGAATGAAACCCACAACACAATCTCCACCAAAGAAAGAAACAAATTGACATAATCAAATCCCCACAAATCAAGCATCAACAAATCACTACATCAATTCCCAATCAGTGAATTACGTTTCCTTTTAAAACCCCCTTAAGTGTAGACATTGGTCTTCTTATGAAAGTCTATAAATAGAGCCTCTATAATTGTACAAAGACACGATAGAAAAATACAAAACAGAGAAAGATTATTTACACATTCCTTCCTCTGTTCTTCTGTTCAATTCTTCCTCACTATTCTTAGTTTCAAACATAGAGGTTCAAAGATACTATTAAAATATGTCTCGAATTTGACTCCGTAAACAAAACTAGACTCAGGATTAATTATATATGTGGATGCCTAAATATATGCCATGGAAATCAATTTTTTTCTAGTGTCAAAGTCCAGGTTGAACAAGATTTTCAGCCAAAACAGGGAAAAAGATATATACGACATTAGCTTTCCTAGCATGTGTTGGAGTTTTGCCCAAAAGTGAAAAGTCCAGCATGGAATTGATTTGGACAATGATTCGGTCGACTCTTGGGTGCATATAAATATAAATAATCTCTGCTTTTGGGAGTCTGCATAGAGTTGTTGAAGTGCCGTTCCATCGAGTGCTTGACAATGGGTTTGGTGTGTCTTTCTTCGTGAATTACATCCAAGATGAATTGATGTTCAAGCCAACATTTTATGGTAAGATTTGTTAATTCTTCTGTGAGATTGAGAGATTATTTCATGAAAAATTATGAGGCTAAACAGTGTGTGAATATATTGGGTGTAATTGGGATTGGAAAACATTAAGAGTGTTTGAGTGACTCGAGTGTGATTGTAACTTACATTATATCGTTTTATCTATAGTGAAATTCTTTGTTGCTCTCCCATGACCAAACCACGTAAACTTTGTGTCCGATTTATTTCTTGTTCTGTCTATTTTATTATTAGATCGCTTGCTTCCGCAATAATTGGTATTAGAGCTAGGCTTGGCTAAGCTGAAGCGAATGGATGGAGACAAAAAAAAAAGGAAAAGTGAAAATCGACAGATTTGATGGGAAGGATTTCAATTTCTGGAGGATGCCGATTGGAGATTATCCGTATTAGAAGAATCTAAATTTACCCCTATCTAGGGGGAAGCTTGACTTGATGAAGCTAGATAAATGGAAATTGCTGGATAGACAAGCATTAGGAGTTATCCGGCTGACGTTGGCTCGTAACATTGTGTTTAATATCATAAAAAAGAAGGCCACTACAGGTTTGATGAAAGACATGTTGGATATGTATAAGGAGCCATTTGCGATTAACAAGGTTTACTTGATGCGAGGTCTGTTTAACTTGAAAATGAGCAAAGGTGCGTCAATTGCTGATCATATCAATGAATTTAATGTGGTTGTCAGTCATTTGAGTTTATTTTAGATTGATTTTGAAGATGAGGTCCATGCTTTGATTCTATTATCTAGAAACTATGCTGTGGATTGTTATAAGTAATTACTCTTAATCAACAAGATGCATTGTTCCTTGAAGCATGGCGATGTCTTTCTTACAAGTAGAGTGACGGTTCGCTTCAATGATTATTAAATCTTGAAAAGTGGACTACCTCATTCCATGATAGTTGGAATACTACTATTACCGTTGTTAGTAATTTCTCTTGGTCAACAAATGAGGAGAATCTGATGAACCTATATCTGCTGCTTTAATGGGTGAAAGTAGAGAAATAACTAGTACATGTGTTGGGAGGAGCAGTATAAACTTGAATGGATGTAGTCGGTCTAAGACTGGTGGTGCTATTAGTTGGAGCTATGGCAAGATGGGGCATTTCAAAATGGATTGCCTTATGTCGAAGAGCAATAAAGGTAAGGGAATTACTGCAATAGCTAATAGCAATTCAAATATTGTTGATTATGATTTATCTGTCACTGAGGATTCGTCTGTTAATTGATGGATTATAAAATCTGGTTGTTCGTCTTATTAGTTTTTTACTTATCAGTGCACGAATAGTAGTATAGTGTAGTTGGTAAACAATGTTGAGTGCTATGTTGTGGGTGTTGGTGATATCAGAATCAGAATCCATGATGGTATAGTGAGGACATTGATTGGAGTGATGCACACTCAAGAGTTGAAGAAGAACCTAATTTCCTTGAGTACTCTAGATTTAGCTAGATGTTGGTATACTTTAGAAAGTAGAGTCTTGAAGGTTGTTCGAGCTGTCTTGATGATAATGAGAGGAATCAAGTATAATGGCCTGTATGAGCTTCAAGGTGAGACAATGACGGAATTTTCCATGTAGACATTGGAGGCATCTGTTCGAGAGTTTGAATTATGACATATGCGTTTGGGGCACATTAGCGAGAAAAGCTTGAAAGTTCTAAGTGAAACGAATCTATTATGTGGTTATGTTGCTGACAAACTGAATATATGCAGATATTGTAACTTAGATCAAAGGCGAAAAGTGCAGGTTAGTTAGGGGTGATCGATTCCGAGATGGGATGATTCCCACCTTGGAACCTAAAACCACCTACAAAGGGCCGGTTCCACAACTTAGGAATTGAAACCACCCATTGGTTCCTGCCGGACTACCGGTCCAATACTTTTGGATAAGAGTAATTATAGCAGTGTTTAAATGGATTTGAACGGTGTTCAACTCGAGGTGGAGGTTGTAGGTACTAGTGAAGTAATTGACACATATGGTGCTTGTAGCGAGATGGAGCCTGTAGAGCTAATAGTTGCTGTAACTGTTGAATTTGACAATATGTGTGCTAGATCTACTCACAAATATGAATGCAATGGGAAGGTTGTATCGGAAAATCCTTGTGGAGTAGTTAAAGTGAGAGGTGGAGTTGGTGTTCTAATGAAATCCACGGTTATGGCGAAAGATATCTGTGGCGATTGAGCCCATGAGGGGCCGCGAGAGAGTAGCAGTGAAGCTCGAAATCTATAGAAACGATTGTCACTTGGCTCAAACGTCAACCCAAGGTGGGGATTGTTATAATATGTCTCGAGTTTGAGCTCATGAACGAAACCCGACTCAAGATAAATTATATTTTTCAACGCCTAAATATATGCCATGGAAATCAATTTTTTTTTTTTTTGGTGCGAGAGTCCAAGTTGAACAAGGTTTCCAAGCAAAACAGGCAAAAAGAAATATACGGCATTAGCTTTCCTAGAGTGTATTGGAGTTTTGGCTGAAAGTGAAAAGTCCAGCGTGGACTTTGATTTGGACCATGATTCACTCAATTCTCGAGCACATGTAAATATAAATAACCTCCATTTTGCGGGAGTCTTTGCACAGTGTTGTTGAAGTGCCGTTCCACCGGGTGCTTGATAGTGGGTTTCGTGTGTCTTTTTTAGTGAATTACGTTTGAGAAAAATTAGAGTTTAAGCCGAAAGCTTATTGTAAGATTTGCTAATCTCTTTATAAGATCGATAGATTATTTCGTGAGAAATTGTGGGGCTAAACACTATGTGAAATTATTGTGTGTAATTGGAAAAGGATAAACATTGTGAGTATTGGAGTGACTCAAGTGTGGTTGTAATTTCTGTTGTATCAATGATCTATAGTGAAGTTCTTTACTGCTCTTCTTGTGGATGTACGTCATCTCAATCAAATCATGTAAATTTAGTATCCGATTTATTTTCTTATTCCGTTTATTTTATTGTTCGATCGCTTTTTCCACATAAATACAATAAGGAGAATTGCAGATCATCCCAAAAGGTGAACCCTATACCTGATGCACCGTGGAATAAACATCTGCATTACCCTAATTATTCAATTGTGGTGCTCGTAGTTAAGATTTTCGGAGGCATTTGGTCCCTAAACTAGTATTCCGTCATGAATTCAAAGTGAATCTCATATTTTCGTTCAAATGTTAATAGAAAATATGTTAACTAAGGCTCAATTTGTTTTGCAAAAAGCTTGAATTAATTTGTCAATGAAAGATATTTTTATTAGGGTTAATACCACTAAAAACCCCAAACTGGTGCACCCGTGACAATTTTATCCAAAACTAACATTTTGACCGCTAAAAACCCCAAAAAGATGCATTTTTGAAAAATTTACTCTTCATTAGTTTCTGTTAAATTTGAGTAATACCACAAAAAATCACAAACAGGTACACCTGTGACAAACAAAGGGTAAAACATAAAATTTGTACATCTGTCAACTGTCGTGTTGCATTTAACAAAATAAATTGACAGTAAAATTTAACGAAAATAAATTGAAGGTAAATTTATCATGTGTTTACCGGTTTGAGACTTCTAGAGGTATTAACCCTTTTTATTATCAATAATAATTTATATTTAAGTATTTTCGTGAATAATATAGATATATTTTATTCATTCATATTTGCACGTACGGGGTTACAAGTCCGAAGTATTGATATTTCACGAGGCAAGGTTTATTAATATTTAGTGGGATTAACCCATGTGTCTTTTCTTTCCCTCTTTCACTCCAACAGTGGATTCGCATTCTCTCGCATTTCCCAAAACGTATCCTCCTCCTCCCTCCGGCAAGGTCCTTCCGCAACAAGCTCCTTCTCCAATGCGGTCGCTCCCAAGAAAACTTCCTCTGCTTGCTCGCACGAGAAGGAAGACGAAGCCCACCGACGCTTCAGCTTCTCCGTTCTATATAAACCCACGATCGTATCCAATCCGATTCGTCTCGCGAACGGTGCAAAAAACGATCCACAAGCGACTGAACCTTCTCTGGTGCGTCTGTTGTTGCGCTCGCACGTGGTTTTGTACTTTCTTTCTGTAACTCCTCTGCTTGTATAGGTATGTATCATGAATGGGATGAGGCAGGTGTTCAACACTCGCCTGCCAGTGTTATGCTCTTATGCTTGTTAAGAGAATTTGTGGGCATGTTCTTTCTTGACTGCAGCTTTTGAGTTTCGGGTTGCTGTAGCTATCATGGCATACCTTCCTCCGCATAAGCGACACTCGAAGGGGAGCGGTGGCCCGTCCCCTGTTCCGGCATCGCTTCCGCGACAGTTCAAGAGAGGTCTGAACTTTAGGTCGCCTAAAACTAATGCCAATCAGAGCGGGAAGATCGTCTATGCGAACACGGCGATTTCTAGATGGTTTGCTGTTGGTTTGGGTGATGATGGGGACCATCTTCCTTCCGGGGTCTTCCTCAAGCCGGTCTCGGTTGAGGCCGTTGAAAGGAGATCAGGAGAGAAACCGCTAGCCTTAGCCAAAAGTTGTATGGCTAATGGTAAGTGATCGTTCCTTTAGTAATGAGATCCTGTTGTGCTCTAGATATCTTGAGGTGTGGATTCATGTTGACTTTAATGGCATTTTTGGCTTCTCAGAAGATGCTGAAACGGGTCGGGACCATAGCAAGAAACCTTGGGTTCATATAGCCGAAACTGTGATGCCTGATTTAGTTTCTTCATTCGAAGTGGTGAGAAGTGAGATTCAGGGTCAGAGCATGGAAGAAATAAAACCCACACTGGTTGCTAGATTCGGAAAAATTCATTTCCATGGGTAAGTTGCTTGAATCAATTTCAGTGAATTAGCTACTGCTTCTTTATGTGACATTTGACTCTGTTTCGTTGGTTGAGGTCCCCGTGGACCTAAAGAGAGTTCAGCATTTTGCAATTTGATACGCAAAGGAAATTAATTTAGGGTTTGTGTGTTTGGAAGGAAATTTATATAGAAAGTACTTTTTTGTTTTTCCACCAAAATTTAGAATATTGATTGTGTTGCAACATTTAGGTTAAACAAAAAGCAAAAAGTAAAAGGTTGTCCAGACATGCCCTTAGTAATGCAATTTAAATTTTGAGAATCGCAATGTTCTGCTGTGTGATCATGCAAATTTCTCAAACTTCAGAGGACCTTGCTCATTGTATCTTCTTAAAATCATGCTCCACACTGTAAATACCGCTCAAGCTAGGCTTTGCTGCTAATAAAGCATAGTTATTTTGCATACTTAGGTGGTTGAACTCCTTATAATAATCATTTTGACTGTAGTTGAGGATATTTGGATGACAAGATAGACACATGAGCTTAACATAATTTTTGGGTGCAGGAGTCCTTCATTTCCATTTCCAGTGGAAACTTGTGGAGATATGGTCACAGAGACCTCATTGAAACAGTTGAAAAGATCATTTTACACAAATGTTCCTGCCTCTTTTGTGAAAAATGTGACTCTTAGAATTATCCCAGAGATTGACCTTAGTTTTGAAGATGAAAAGGATATATATCATGTCAAGGTGCTTAAGTCTCTAGTTTCTGCCTTTTTACTTTTTCAGTCATGCATTTCAATAATTTTGACTGGTCGATTGCGTCCTTTTTGTGGTGCAGTTATCCGATAAGTCCAGGCCGGATTCGACCATCTCCTGCAAATGTAGTGTTTCTAAGGCAGAGCAGAGACTTGAACTCTATAAGGCAAATTCCTGCTTCTCTCAAAAAATAATGAGAGCTTATACTAAATATTACCCTACTTGTTTCATGCTAAGAGGCATTATGTCATTTTAGATAAAAATAACATTGTGGAGTTATATATGTACTATACCTTTTCCTAATGGTTGGGTTTTTTTCATTGTTTATAAAGGCATTGACAACTGCATATTTTGGCTGTAGGTCGAACTAAACCAGGTGCGGCACATGGTAGTTGATGTATCATGCCTGGATAAGGATCTGGACATGAGGTTGATGTTATACACTAAGAGAATCTTGACAGCTATTAGTGTAAGTATTGAAGCTAAGATCCATGTGAAACTTCACTTTGTTGGAGGCACTTACGAGGGCCTATTTGTTTTAGCTTAACTAAAAAAATGTGTTTTCTTGTTTTACTTTCCTGTCAAAATTTAAGATTTTATTCAAATTTCAAAATATCATGAAAATTATATGTGAATCTAAATGTCGACTTTTGAATTTTGTGAAAGTTTCAATTGTGTTGGATTTGAAAAGAGTTAAAGCGTGAGAGTAGCAAAATTTTAATTAAGTAAAAGTGAAATGTTAGAGTCAATTCAGACAGACCATAGCTCTTATTGCAGTAAATTTTTCTTCGTTTCGAGTCCCACCTTTTAACTCTAGCTTGGTGGATAATTTGCAAGGAATGACTGTTTGCCATGTTATATGTCATGTAGCATGGCTAATTACTTTTACTGGAGCCTTTTCTTTTGCCGGTTTCCATCACAGCATAAGATGTGGCCTATACTAAGAGAAATCAGTATGTGAAAGAGAATTGGAAGGGCCAACGGTTGCATTCTCAAATTTTTCGTCCATTGCCCAATTTACTGAATAATTATGCTTGAAACAATTTTCGACCTTAACTTTATTTCCTTGGGCAGTTAATTTTTTGCCACATTGCCATCATAATTGTTAGTCCTTTCAATTTACTTTAAGATGTTCATGTTTGCAGGAAAAGGAAAAGAACAGCATTAGGGATTTGATTGCTTCTGCAGTCATAGATTCTAGTGTTAAGGGGGGTTTAAGATGGCCTCTGGGAAAGGAATCTTCTGGAGATAGATACAGTGTCGTTGGAGTTTGGCATACAATCTCTAAAACTTATAAGAATTCATCCATGAGGCTGAAGGTGAGACATGCTGATCGGTTTGATTTTAGGATTTCCCATGGGGAAGTTACTGAAGAAACTGTCCTGAAGTTGAAAGGCATAACTTCTGAATTGCATGTAAGTTCTTTCGTCCCCTGTTAAGATAAAAGTAGCTTTTTTGCGTGTACTTTGCTTGTGAATGCGAATTGGTTCCATGTAAGTTCATTACTGGAATTGACAATTGAAGCATCCTGTAATTTCTGGATTAGTATTTGATTTGTGAAAGCCTTCCAATGCACATTAAATTATTTTAGGCAAAGAATTCCGGTGGCTTCTCTAACCAGTTAAAGTGCATGCCAAGTTTCGAGTTTGGATTCCTTTTAGTTTCACTAGAATTTCCTTTTCAAGACAAATTTATCTTCTGATAGTTAAAGAGGTGATTCTTTTTTCTTGTTATTTTTACTGTTTAAGTACTTCAGCTGTTATATTGGGTTGCATCGTTTGACCTTTGCTGGTGCAACATTTTAGAGAAGTTGTAAATTCAACTCCCCCCTCTAAATATCAATTTGATTCAGTGTGTTGAATTTGCTGTGTCATGAGGATGATGTGCTCTTAATGAAACACTATACAACAGACAAATAACTCTTTTTACATTAAACAATTTTTGTCAAGGGATTTGTTTCTGAGGCAGAGGCCAAGTATTTTCTTACAGATTGAGCTGCATGTAACAACCTATATATGTGGGTTTGTCATACCTGATGGCTTCCTGTCATCATCTTCATTTTGTGTTTAATTGCATCTTACTCGACAAGGACACAAGTGTCAATATATAATGGTTTTGGGATTTTCATTTTGTTGACACCTATTACTACAATTTTCAGGGACAGAGTCTGCAAACTGATCTAATTTCTGATGTGCTTAAAGATGCAGTGAAGATGATGTGGGAGCATTTCTTATCTTGCTGAAATACGGTCATTTGAATTGGCCTCTTTTTCTCAGTGTGTATTTGGGTGTGTGAGAGAGAATGTAAATGAAACTTATGGTTATTGGGTGAGTTTGTTTTTGTGAGAGTATGAATTCCTCACTGAGAACGTAAATTTATATAAGGGCTCCAAAACATGGGCCTCATTCTCTCTGGCTTTATGTATCCTCTAGCAATTTGCATATTATGAATTGACAATTATGTGAATCTCGGTATAATGTATGTTGATGCTTAGTAGACATTTCACCGGCTTTGATACTATATATATGATTTGCGATGTGATATACTCTGATCAAGAGAGAACTAGTACGATATTTTGTATCGTGGAAAACGCTCTCTATATTGAATCAGCGACTAGTGGTGAAGTTTTCATAATTTTCATTTTTCCTCGATACGTCATTGACCTGATCATGCACATTTGGTTTTTCAATGCTTTGAAAACTTGGATAATTCTAGAAGGTAAGTTCCTGATCAGATAAATATAGTATTACTTACAGCACCATTTCTCCATGTCAAATAATCGGACAACATATGTGACGTAACTTTAGCCCAATCAAACAGAGGACTAATGTGGATTAAAGACCGACCTGTATCTTCTGTTGCTCTTGGAGACGACATGCAACTGATCTCTGTGGTTGCATTTCCTTGACGTGTGATGCATTATTGTCTTCTCAATTCTTTATCTAGCAGGATGCCCTGGTATGGCTGGAGGCAACTTGGATTTCTGGAGAATACGAGGGAGTTAGGCTGAGAACTTGTCATTCAGTCTCTGTAGTTCGTGATGCTGTATATACTGATTCGATGTTCCTTTGTGTGGACAGCTCATGCAGGAACTGTGGACATTCCTGTTGGTGCAGCACTTCAGATGTTTCTGCTTCTTTCCGTGCCTCGTATATACTCGATACACCAACAGCGTGTGGCAGTTTCTTATAGGCGTGGTCGAGGGTTTGTGGGAAATTGACATATGCAGTCAGCAATCTCTGAGGAAAGGTACGGACCAGATCCTATGATGCTCCTCGAGTAATTTTAATACAAACTAGATTGATGGCATGTTTTTCTGCAGTTTTCTCACCTATGGTTTCTGCTGAGCATGCATAGTCCTGGGCCCTGTAACCTGTTGTGCATGGTTTAAGCCGTGCCCGCCACTCGCCCTCTTGCTTATAAGTAAAACTATCTCTCTCTCTCTCTGATTCTCGGTCCTCCTCTCGATCTCCATTACTTCCGTCGTGCACTTCACAAATCTTTTGTTTTAATGTCACTAGGTTAAAGAGAGAGAATGCGGAGTGTAAGTTAAGCAAAAGTAGAGGTTCAAAGATACAATAAGGAGATTTGGAGATCGTTCCAAAAGGAGAACCCCTATACCTGATGTGCCGTGGAATAAACATTTGTGCTCCTGTAATTATTCAATTTTGGTCCTCGTAATTACAATTTTCGGAGGCTTTCAGTCCCTAAATTACTATTTGGTCACTATCTCGAAGTTAATTTCGTATTTCTATCCAAATGTCGATAGAAAATGCTAACCGAGTACCGAAAATCGACATCGGTGTCGACGTGTTATGAGAACGCGGTTCATAACTATTTCGGAGTAAGCTTCTATCGAATGCTGCATTGTGATTAATTTGAAGTACTGCGATTCTAAATGGTAACTATTTGAATACTTTATTTGGGAGCTTGATCCATGTGGAGTGGACCAAAACATTAGCTCATCATTTTTTTTTCGATTGTTTATTCCGTATCGATTTAGCGTATTAAATTCTATCACTCGGTCAAAATTTTTGTCTACATTTGGTTGCAAATACGAAATGGGTCCAGATATCGCAATCGAAGACTAATTTGGGGACTAAATCTTACAAAACAAAGTAGGTAAGATTGCCAAAAAAAAAAGCCTTAAAACCTATTGTACGGATAATTTGATCGTAAACCTTTTGATTATATGTCAATGTAGTTATCCCGGTCAATTTTAGTTGGAAATTGCCGACGTGGACGGCGGGCGAAGCCGAGGTGGATAATTTTTTTAATTTTGAAATTTTTTTTCTGAATTTTTTTCTTTTCTTTTATTGTGGGCCGACGACTTTGGCTGGCGACCTCTGCTGGCCACCGTGGCTGTGGCTGTGGACTAGCGGAGGAAAATAAGGAAAAAAAAATAAAAGAAAAAAAAAGGAAAAGGAAAAAAATAGAGTAAAAGAATTCAAAAAAATTATGAAAATTATGCTTTATAAGACGGTTAGAATCCACGTCAGCGATTTTTGATTAAAATTGGTCGGAAGAATTACTTTAGCGAATCGTTAAAAGATTTAGGATTAGATTTGAGATCAAATTGGTATCCGTAAAATAAATTTAATTTAATTTTTGGTAATTTCCTTAACAAAGTATGGGACGATAATTACCCTTTTTCCCAATCTCATCATCACCCCTTTGTTTTTCACATGCAGACAGTACAAGAATGTCTCGTTTCTTTCCACGTCATCTCTATTCAATTAAAAAATCAAACGGATTGACGAAATTAAAATTTCATTTGTCTTTATTTTCGTCGATTGTTTAATTATGTTTGGTTCATATAAGGGGAGACGGGGGAGGTAATCGGCAATTTGAAAAACAAATTTTCCTTCGTATATTCGTTTCCGTTGCTTAATTGAACGAGTCGATAAAAATAAATTTTATTGTTAACAATAATTTGCGACATGCTAAGGTAGCTTGTTTTTCTAAAGGATTAATATCATGAAAAAAATTTAAACTGGTATATTTGTGACGAATTTATTCAAAGCTAATTTTTTTACCATAAAAAATCCAAAACCGATATATCTGTGATAAATTTACCCTCAGTTAGTTTCGGTTAAATTTTACCTTTAAATTGCTGAGTTAGATGATACGTGGCAACTGATTTTGAGAAGTAAACAGGTCTACCAGTGTGTGGTTTTACGTGGCATTAATCCAATTTTGTCACAAATGAACCAGTTTGGAGTTTTTGGTGGTTAAAAAATTAGTTTGCTGTAAATTTATCATAAATGTACCGGTTTGAAATTTTCGATGGTAAAAAAATTAATTTGAGATAAAGTTGTCACATATATATCAGTTTGGAAATTTTTGTAGTAATAATCCTTTTTCTAAATGATATAAATGATGATAATCAGGACATTTTTCTAAATCGTTAATTTTTCACGAGTCGAATTTTTTTTTCCTTTCTCACAAAAAAATTTAATTTTTCTTGTGTCATTTTTTCCACTGAAAAACAGGTCAATTCCTCAGTCTCTCTGGTTTCCCAAGAAACAGTATGTCCTTCTTCCTCGGAAAGGTGGTCCCTCCTCCAATGGGAAGGGGGGTCCCACTCAACTCAAATATTTTCTCTACTTCCTCGCGAAGCTACCTTGCTTCCACGAGAGAGAGAGAGAGAAGGCGAAGCGCACCGATGTTCAGCTTCCCTCTCTCAAATTCTACACTGACCCTCCTCGATCATGGCCGCTCCAATCTGTCTCGTGGAAGGAGCAAGAAACCAATCCTCAAGTGACCGACACCCCACGCTCTGGTACTGTCTGTCGATGCGCTCGTGCGTGTGAATTCTCGAAATTACTTGCTCTGGTTTAGCTTTGTTGTGCTCTTGTACTAGATTGACAGAATGCCTCTGAGTGATGTCAGCTGAAACTCTGCTTCTGTAGCTGTGTATCATGAATGGGGTGTGGGTGTTTTTTCAGTCCAGTTCTTGGTCTGTGGGTTTTAAAGGGATTGACACTCACCCGCCAGTGTTGTTCTCTTGTGCTGCTTAAGAGGAATTGTGGGCATGCTTTTTTCTAGACTGAAGTTTTGAGTTCCGGGTTGCTGAAACTATCATGGCATACGTTCCGCCGCGCGGGCAACATTGGAAGGAGAGGGATGGCCCGTCCCGTGTTCCAGCACCGGTTGCGTGGCGGGTCAGGAAAGGTCCTGACTCGAGGCCGCCCGAAACTATTGCTCATCAGATTGGGAGGGATCAACATTTGGAGGAGAGGGATGGCCCGTCCCATGTTCCAGCCTCGGTTGTGTGGCGGGTCAGGAAAGGTCCCGACTTGAGGCCGTCCGAAACTATTGCTCATCAGATTGGGAGGGATCAACATTGGGAGGAGAGGGATGGCCCGTCCCATGTTGCAGCCTCGGATTCGTGGCGGTTCAGGGAAGGTCTTAACCCGATGTTGCCCGACACGATTGCTAATCAGATTGGGAGGAATCTACATTGGAAGGAGAGGGATGGCTCGCTCCGTGTTCCAGCATCAGATGCGTGGCGGTTCGGGAAAGGTCTTAACTCGATGTCCTCCGAAACTATTGCTCGTCAGATTGGGAGGAATCAACGTTGGAAGGAGAGGGATGGCCCGTCCCGTGTTCCAGCATCAGTTGCGTGGCAGTCCACTCAAAGTCTTAACTCGAGGTTGCCCAAAACTATCGCTCATCAGAGTGGGAGGAACCAACATTGGAAGGAGAGGGATGGTCAGTCTCGTGTTCCAGCATCAGATGCGTCGCGGTTCAGGAAAGGTCTTAACTCGAGTTCGCCCAAACCTATTTCTCATCAGAGTGGGAGGATTGAGTATGCAGGCAAGGCAATATCTAGATGGTTGGCTGTTGGTTTGGATGCTGGCGGAGGTCATCTTCCTTCTAGTGTCTTTCTCAGGCCGGTCTCTGTTGAGGCCATTGAATTGCAACCAGGAGAGATACCGTTAGCCTTAGCCAAAAGTTGTATAGTTAATGGTAAGTGATGTTCCTTTGATAATGAGATCCTATGTGCTCTAGATATTGTGCATTTCATGTTGACTTCAATGGAATTCTTGGCTTCCCAGAAGATGATGAAACGGGCCGGGACCATGGGAAGAAGCCTTGGGTGCATATTACTGAAACTGTGATGCAAGATTTATTTTGTTCATTCAAAGCTTTGACGAGTAAGATTAAGGATCAGTGCATGGATGGAATAAAACCAACAGTGGTTGCTAGATTCGGAAAAATTCTTTTTCGTGGGTAAGTTGCTTGAATTAAATCTGGTGAATGATTAGCTACGGCTACTTTATGTAACATTTGGCTCTGTTTCATTGGTTGAGGTCCCCGTGGACCTAAACATGGTTCAAAGAGAGTTCAGTATTTGGCAATGCTTTGCATACACAAAGGAAATTTATCAGGGGCTTGTTTGTTTAGAATTAAATTTAAGTAAAAATTACTTTTTGCTTTTGCGCCAAAATAATGTGAAAAGATTATGAAAAATATATATGTGGATCTTTGTATCAATGTTTGCATATTGCACATGTTTCAAATGTTTAAAAAAAAAAAACAAAGTCAAAGTGCATGTGTCGCAATATTTAGATTATACAAAAAGCAAAAAGTAAAAATCTATCTAGACACACCCATGGTAATGCAATTTGAATTTTTGAGAATCTCAATATTCTGCTGCGTGATCTTGCAAATTCTCATACTTCAGAGCACCTTGCTTATTGTAAGTCTTTAAAATCACACTACACGTTGCAAATACCATTAAAATTAGGCTTTGCTGCTAATAAAGCATCATTGTTTTGCATAGTTGGGAGGTTGAACTCCTTATAATAATCATTTTGAGTGCAGTTGTGAATATTTGGATGACAAGATAGAACATAATTTTTGGGTGCAGGAGTCCTTCATTTCCGGTGGAAAATTGTGGAGATATGGTTGCAGTGGCCTCATTGAAATGGTTGAAAAGAAAATTTTACACAAATCTTCCTTCCTCTTATATGGAAAATGTGACTCATAAAGTTATCCCGGAGATTGGCCTTAGTTTTGAAGACGAAAAGGATATATATCATGTCAAGGTGCTTAAGTCTCTAGTTTCTCCTTTTTTACTTTTTTGTCTTTTGTATGCATTTCCATAATTTTGACTGGTCAGTTGCATCCATCTTTCTGTGGTGCAGTTATGTGATATGTCCAGGCCAGGTGAGACTATCTGCTGCAAATGTCTTGTTATTAAGGATGAGCAGCGACTTGAAATTTATAAGGCAAATTCCTGCTTCTCACCACATAATGAGCTTGTACTAAATATTACCATACTTGTTTCATGCTAAAAAATTCACGCTTCATGCTAATTGTGTGGATTTATATATGTACTATACCTTTTCCTAAATGATTGGGTTTTTGTCATTGTTTATTAAGGCATTGATGACTGCAAATTTTGGTTGTAGATCGAATTAGGCCAAATGAGACACATGGTTGTTGATGTATCATGCCTCAATAAGGATCTGGATATGAGGTTGATGCTACGTGCCAAGAGACTCTTCACGGCTATTAGTGTAAGTAATTGAAGCTAAGACCCATGTGAAACTTGACTTTGTTGGTATTTTTTAATATCCCGCCAAAATTCAAAATATTATTCAACTTTTAAAAAATTATTAAACCTCTTATTGATCTATTCTCCAACTGGAAAATCTTCCTTTTGCCTCCTCCTTCAACTGAGCTACCTAGTTTTCCAATCATACATGGCACTCCAAGCTCTTCAACAGAAGGTGGAATTGGACCAACACTTACTTTCGAAATCATCCAAATCCGCCCCTGTGAAGTACTTATTCATAAGAGCAAGTGCATACTCGATTCTATGAGGTACTTCCATGGCCATGCGTGAAAATCGATCAGAAGTATCCTCATCCCTGTCCGTTGGGTGGGTAGGCTCCTTGTCCTTGGGAAGCCGAACTCCCCATGGGGGTGCTTCAGGCATATCGATCTAAAACCTATTTTAGCATCGAAGAGGGAATTCAGTGAGGCTTCCCTAGTCATCTTATCCCATTAAGTGCATATTCAATCAATTTAGCTACTCCCTTACTAATGTCTTTCGAAGTTGATTATTCTATAATATAACTGTGAAAGGGGAATAGCTTGCGGAATCTATATCATCTATGAAGGGCATTTGTATCAACGCATTCCAAGTCAATGAAAAAAGAGGATTTCAAAAGAGAGCAGCTCCTATTACAAATGTAGTGAAACCAATAAAGTTGAGGTAGTGTTAATTGTCTTTCAAACTGCCTACAATTTTACATGTCTACATTTGAATTTTGTGAAAGTTTCAAGTTTTTGAAATTGAAAAAGGTTCAAGCATGTGAGTAGCTAAAATTTGATTAAAGTCGAAAGTAAAATTGAAGACCAATCCAGACAGACCATAGCTCTTATTGCAGTAATTACTTCTTCGTCTAAAGTCCTACCTATGGAACTATGGGTGCAATATAGCTTGATTGATAATTTGCAAGGAATGACTGTTCGCTGTGTCATAGGGTATGTTACATGGTAAGTTGCTTTTCCTGGAGAAATTTCCTGGGCCAGTTCATGTTACAAGATAAGAAAGCAAGTAAAGTGACCTATGCTGAGAGAAATCAGTATGTAAAAGAGAATGGAAAGGGCCAATGGTTGCATTTCAAAATTTTGATTCACAGCCCAATTTCCTGACAAATAATGCTTGCGACAATTTTCAACCGTAACTTTATTTCCCTGGGCAATCAACTTTTTTGCCTCATTGCCATCATAATTGTTACTCCCTATAATTTACTTCAAATTGTTCATGGTCGCAGGAAAGTGAAAAGAGCAGCATTACGGATTTGATTACTTCTGCAGCTTTAGATTCCAGTGTAAAGGGGGGTTTAAAATGGCCTCTGAGGAAGGCATTTTCTGGGGATAGATACAGGGTCGTTGGGTCTTGGCATACAATCTCTAAAACTTATAATAATTCATCCATGAGGCTGAAGGTGAAGCATGCCGATCGGTTTGATTTTAGGGGCTCCCATGGGGAAGTTACTGAAGAAATTACCCTGAAGTTGAAAGGAATAACTTCTGAATTGAATGTAAGTTCTTTTGTCCCTTATTATGATGAATTTAGTTTTTTTTGCGTGCATTGTGCTTGTGAATGCGAATTTCCATGTGTTCCAGCCATAGGTCTGACCATTGGCTCAATACAAGAATTGACAATTGAAGCATCCTGTAATTTCTGGATTCATAGCCGATTTATGAAAGCCTTCCAATGCATATTAACTTATTTTAGGCATAGCATTTCCGGTAGCTTCTGAAATCTGATAAAGTGCATGCCAAGTTTTAAGTTTGAATCTATTTTCACTAGAATTGCCTTTTCAACAAAATTTACCTTTCGATAGGTAAAGTGGTGATTCTTTTTTACTGTTCTATTACTCTCAAGTATTTCAGCTGTTACATGGGGTTACATTCTTTCACCTTTGCAAATTTTATAGAAGTTGTAGTTGCAATTCTGCCCCTGGAGATATCAATTTGATCAGTGTGTTGAAACTTGAATCTACTGTTTCATGGGGATGATGTGCTCTTAATGAAACACTATGTGTTATACAACACACAATCAACTCTATTTTTACATTGAATAAAATGTAAAAGGATTTGTTTCTGAGGCAAAGGCTGAGTATTTTCTTACAAATTGAGCTACCTGTAATAACCTATATGTGTGGGTTTGTCATACCTGATGGCTTCCTTTTTAATTGCATCTTACTCCCTATGCTTGACAAGGACACAAGATGTCAATATCCAATGGTCGTGGGAATTTTTTTTTTTTAAATGTTTACTGCTACTACAATTGTCAGGCACAGAGTCTGGGAACTGATTCAATCTGTGATATGCTTAAAGATGCAGTAAAGATGATGTGGGAGCACTTCTTATCTTGTGAAAATACGGTCTTTTGAATTGGCCTCTCTTACTCAGTGTATGAGAGAGAGAGAGAGAGAGAGAGAGAATGTAATTGAAAGTCATGGTGATTGTATGATTTGTCTTGTGAGAATGTACTAATTCCAACTGAGGATGTACATAAGGGCTCAAAAACATGGGCCTCATTCTATTTTTTCGCCTTGCGGGAATGAATTTGATATATCGCTCCGGCTTTATGTATCCTCTTGCAATTTGCTTAAAAATGCTATCTTTCTTATTATAGAGATTTGATGAGCTACTGCATCTTATGAATGGACAATTATGTGAATCTCGGTATATTGTATGTTGATGCTTAGTAGACAGTTCACCAGTTCTGATGCTATAAATGTGATGTTTAAAGTGCCGTGTGATATATTTTGATCAAGAGATAACTAGGACAACATCGTGTATTGTGAAAAATGCCCTATATTGAATCAGCGACTAGTGGCGAGTTCTTCCTCATTTTCATATTTCCTCGATACGTCTGTGTAAAACCTAATCATGCATATTTGGTGTTAAAATTTTCGGGAGGCATTTGGTCCCCTAAATTAACATTTGGCCGCTATTTCAAAGTAAATTCTCATATTTCTGTTCAAATGTTGATAGAAATTGTCGACTAAGTACCGAAAATCGACATTGGTGTCGATGTGTTACAAGCAGTAGACAAAACCTAGAGTTGTGATGATCCGATCAGATCTACGTGAGCGGTTGGTAACTATTTAGGAGTAAGCTTTTGTCTGAGTGTTGCGATGTGGTTGATTTAAAGTACTGCAATCCTAAATGCTAACTATTTGACTACTTTATTTGGGAGCTTGATTGATCCATGTGGAATAGACCAAATCATTAGCTCATCAATTTTTTTTTATTGTTTATTCTGTATCGATTTAGTGTATTAAATTCTATCACTCGGTCAAGATTTTTGTCTCTATTTGGTTGCAAATATGAAGTTGGTCCAAAAATTGCAATCGAGGACTAATTTAGGGACTAAATTTGACAAAGCAAAGTAGGGAAGATTACCAAAAAAGTCATTAACCTATTCTACGACAGCTAATTCAGTCATAGATCTTTCAGTTATGTCAATTTAGTCCTAAATCATTTGATGATTTGCTAATGTAGTCCATCTAACTAGGATTGATTGGATATAGTTGATGTGGAGGCCAACCAACACTAAAATGGATAATTTTTTTAATTTTATTATTTATTTTCTTTTTCTTTTTCTTTTTTTTTCCTTCTTTTTTTTTTACTATGGGCTGGCGACCATTGTCGGCTCTAGGCGAGGGCTTGTGAGCCCTTGGCTGTGGCGGGCGACCACTACTGGCAACCACTGAGGTTGTGGGCCGGCGAAGGGAAATAAGAAAAAAAGAAAAAGGAAAGAAAAGGAAAAAGAATTCACAAAAATTGTACACATCAGTGCTGGTTAAGATGTTCGCATCCATGTTAGCGATTTCCGGCTAAAATTAGTGAATCGTCAAAAGATTTAAGACTGGATTGGTTAATTGAAATGTTTAGAACTGAATTGATATTTGTAAAATGAATTTAAGGCTTTTTTGGTAATTTTCCTAAACAAAGTATGAGAAAATAATTGAATAACGGTACTCGTGCATGAACTATTCTTTTTCACTTTCCCTTTTTCCCACCCTTATCATGACTCCTTTGTTTTCACATGCAAATAGTACAAGAATGTCTCATCTCTTTCCGTACCTCATTTCTATTCAATTTAAAATCGAACAAATCGACGAAATTAAAATTTCTTTTATCCTTATTTTCCTCAAATTGTAATTATATTTGGCTCATACAAGGGAAGGGGGGAAGAAAATTGTAGAGGGAAAATCGCCAAGCCTTTCGCATCGTTTCTTTCATAAAGAATCAGCAATTTGAAAAATAAATTTTTTACATTTAATCATTTTTTGCTAAGTTTAACGAGTCAATGAAAAATAATTTGATCACTAACAACAACCTATGACTAACCATCTTGATTCCCTACCAAAAAAAAAACCATCTTGATTGATAATGAGAATATATTCGGGTAACTTGTTTTCCTAAATGATATAAATGAGAACAATTAGGATTTTTTTTAAATCGTTGATATTTCGAGTCGAATTTCTTTTCTCCTTCCTCACAAAAATTTAATTATTCCTTTTCATTTTTCACAAAAAAAAAAATACAGTCAATTCTCACTAGCTTCCTCGGGAAGGTCCTTTCTTCAATGGCGGGTCCCCACGCTCAAATTTTCTCTACTTGCTCGCGAAGCAAGTTTGCTTCGCCGAAGAGAGAAGTCGAAGTGCACTGATGCTCAGCTCCTCTGTTCTACATTGACCCTCCATCGTGGCCAACCCAAACTGTCTCGTGGAAGGAGCAAGAAACGATCCTCAAGTGACTGAACCCACTCTGGTACGTCTGTCCATGCTCTCGTACATGTGAACTTTCGAAGTTACTCTCGTTTAGTTTCTCTGTTTTTATTGAAGAAAAATTTGGAATCATATCTGGGTTTGTTGTGCTCTTGTGTTGGATGAGAGACTGCCTCTGAGTGATATCATCTGAAACTCTGCTTGTGTAGCTGCGTATCATCAATGGGATAAGGCAATTCTTTTAGTCCAGTTATTGGTCTGTCGGTTTATGGTGATCAAGACTCACCCGCCAGTGTTGTTCTCTTATGCTTCTTAAGAGAAATCGTGGGCATGTTTTTCTCTTGACTGCAGTTTTAAGTTTTGGGTTGCTGTAACTATCATGGCCTACGTTTATCGGCGTAAGCGACGTTGGGATGACAGGGATGGCCCGTCCCGTGTTCCAGCATCGGTTGCGTGGCGGTTGAGGGAAGGTCTTAACTCGAGGCTGCCCGAAACTATTGCTCATCAGACTGGGAGGAAGCGACATTGGGAGGAGAGGGATGGCCCGTCCTTTGTTCCAGCATCGGTTGCGTGGCAGTTCAGGGAAGGTCTTAACTCGAGGCGGCCTGAAACTATTGCTCATCAGATTGGGAGGAATCGACAGTGGGAGGAGAGGGATGGCCTGTCCCGTGTCCCAGCATCGTTTGCATGGCGGTTCAGGGAAGATCTCAACTGGAGGTGGCCCGAAACTATTGCTCATCAGATTGGGAGGAATCAATATTGGCAGGAGAAAGATGGCCCAACCCGTGTCACAGCATCGGTTGCATGGCGGTTCAGGGAAGACCTCAACTGGAGGTCGCCCGAAACTATTGCTCATCAGATTGGGAGGAATCAACATTGGCAGGAGACAGATGGCCCGTCCCGTGTCCCAGCATCGGTTGCATGGCGGTTCAGGGAAGATCTCAACTGGAGGTCGCCCGAAACTATTGCTCATCAGATTGGGAGGAATCAACATTGGCAGGAGAGGGATGGCCCATCCTGTGTCCCAGCATCGGTTGCGTGGCGGTTCAGGGAAGATCTTAACTCGAGGTCGCCCGAAACTATTGCTCATCAGATTGGGAGGAATCAACATTGGGAGGAGAGGGATGGCCCGTCCCGTGTTCCGGCATTGGTTCCGTGGCGGTTCAGGAAAGGTATTAACTCGAGGCTGCCCAAACGTATTGCTCATCAGATTAGGCGGAATCAACATTGGGAGGAGAGGGATGGCCCGTCCAGTGTTCCAGCATCGGTTCCATGGCGGTTCAGGAAAGGTATTGACTCGAGGCTGCCCAAACGTATTGCTCATCAGATTAGGCGGAATCAACATTGGGAGGAGAGGGATGGCCCATCCCGTGCTCCAGCATCGGTTGCGCGGCAGTTCAGGAAACGTCTTAACTCGAGGGCACCCAAACCTATTGCTCATCAGAGTGGGAGGATCGAGTATGCAAGCAAGGCAATATCTAGATGGTTGGCTGTTGGTTTGGATGATGACGGAGATCATCTTCCTTCTGGTTTCTTTCTCCGGCCAGTCTCTGTTGAGGCCATTGAATGGCAACAGGGAGAGAAACCGCTAGCCCTGGCCAAAAGTTGTATAGTTAATGGTAAGTGATGTTCCTTTGATAATGAGATCCTATGTGCTCTAGATATCTTGATTGTGGTTTCATGTGGACTTTAATGGAATTCTTGGCTTCTCAGAAGATGATGAAACGGGCCAGGACCATATGAAGAAACCTTGGGTGCATATAGCCGAAACTGTGATGGAAGATTTAGTTTGTTCATTCAAAGCTTTGAGGAGTGAGATTAAGGATCAGAGCTTGGATGGAATAAAACCAACTCTGATTGCTAGATTCGGGAAAATTCTTTTTCGAGGGTAAGTTGCTTGAATTATTTTTGGTGAATAATTAGCTACTGCTACTTTATTTAACATTTGACTCGGTTTCATTGGTTGAGGTCCCCCTGGACCTAAACATGGTTCAGAGAGAGTTTAGCATTTGACAATGCTTTGCATGCACAAAGGAATTTATCAAGGGCTTGTTTGTTTAGAATTAAATCCAAGTAAAAAGCACTTTTTTGCTTTTCCGCCAAAATAATTTGAAAAGATCATGAAAAATATATATGTGGATCTTCGTGTCAATATTTTCATGTTGCGCAGGTTTCAAGTATTTAGGAATAAAAAAGAAAGTCAAGGTGCATGTGTTACAGTATTTAGATTATACAAAAAGCAAAAAAGTAAAAATCTATCCAAACACGCCCCTACTAATGCAATTTAAAATTTTTGAGAATCTCAATATTCTGCTGTGTGATCATGCAAATTTTTCATACTTTAGAGCACCTTGTTTATTGTATCTCTTTAAAATCGCGCTCCACGTTGTAAATACCGCTCAAGCCAGGCTTTGCTGTTGATAAAGCATAATTGTTTTGCATAGTTGGGAGGCTGAAGTCCTTATAATAATAATTTTGAGTGTAGTTGTGAATATTTGGATGACTAGAACATAATTTTTGGGTGCAGGAGTCGTTCGTTTCCAGTGGAAAATTGTGGAGATATGGTTACAAAGGCCTCATTGACACGGTTGAAAAAATCATTTGACTCAAATCTTCCTTCTTCTTATATGGAAAATGTGACTCATAAAGTTATCCCGGAGATTGGCCTTAGTTTTGAAGATGAAAAGGATATATATCATGTCAAAGTGAGCCTCTAGTTTCTACTTTTTTACTTTGTCTTTCGTATGTATTTCCATGATTTTGACGGGTCAGTTGCATCCATCTTTCCGTGGTGCAGTTATCTGATGAGTCCAGGCCAGGTGAGACCATCTGCTGCAAATGTAGTGTTATTAAGGATGAGCAGCGACTTGAACTCTATAAGGCAAATTCCTGCTTCTCACCACATAATGAGAGCTTATACTAAAAATACCCTACTTGTTTCGTGCTGAAAAAATCGTGCATCGTGCTAATAGTTGGCAGTTATATATGTACTATACCTTTTCCTAAATGATCGGGCTTTTGCCATTGTTTATGAAGGCATTGACAATTGCAAATTTTGGTTGTAGGTCGAATTAGGCCAGATGCGACACATGGTTGTCGATGTATCATGCCTCAATAAGGATCTGGATATGAGGTTGATGTTACGTGCCAAGAGACTCTTTACGTCTATTAGCGTAAGTAATTGAAGCTAAGACCCTTGTGAACTTCACTTTGTTGGAGGCACTTACTAGGGATTGTTTGTTTTAACTAAAAAGTATTTTTTTTACTTTCCCACAAAATTCATAATATTACTCAAATTTTAAAATATACTTGGTGGATAATCTGCAAGGAATGACTGTTAGCCATGTTATAGGTTATGTAACATGGCAAATTGCTTTTCCTGGAGGCTTTTCCTGGGCCAGTTCATGTTACAGCATAAGAAAGCAAGTAAAGTGACCTATACTGAGAGAAATCAGTATGTAAAAGAGAATGGAAAGGGCTAATGGTTGCATTATCAAAATTTTCGTTTGCAGCCCAATTTCCTGGCAAATTATGCTGGAGACAATATTCGAACTTAACTTTATTTCCCTGGGCAATAAACTTTTTTTGCCACATTGCCATCATAATTGTTTCTCCCTACAATTTACTTCAAATTATTCATGGTCGCAGGAAAGTGAAAAGAACAGCATTACGGATTTGATTACTTCTGCAGTTTTAGATTCCAGTGAAAAGGGGGGTTTAAGATGGCCTCTGATGAAGCCATTTTCTGGGGATAGATACAGTGTCGTTGGGGCTTGGCATACGATCTCTAAAACTTACAATAATGCGTCCATGAGGCTGAAGGTGAAGCATGCCGATCGGTTTGATTTTACGGACTCCCATGGGGAAGTTGCTGAAGAAATTACCCTGAAGTTGAATGGAATAACTTCTGAATTGCATGTAAGTTCTTTTGTCCCCTGTTATGATAAATTTAGTTTTTTTGCGTGCATTGTGCTTGTGAATGCGAATTGGTTCCATGGGCTCCAGCCATAGGTCTGACCATTGGCTCAATACAAGAATCGACAATTGAAGCATCCTGTAATTTCTGGATTCATAGCTGATTTGTGACAGCCTTCCAATGCATATTTACTTATTTTAGGCATAGAATTTCCGGTAGCTTCTGAAATCTGATAAAGTGCATGCCAAGTTTTAAGTTTGAATCTATTTTCACTAGAATTGCCTTTCCAACAAATTTATCTTTTGAAAGGTAAAGAGGTGATTCTTATTCACTGTTCTTTTACTTCGAAGTATTTCAGCTGTCACATTGGGTTGCATTCTCTCACTTTTGCAAATTTTATAGAAGTTGCAACTGCGATTCTGCCCCTAGAGATATCAATTTGATTCAGTATGTTGAATCTACTGTTTCCTGAGGATGATGTGCTCTTAATGAAACACGGTGTTATACAACACACAGTATAAAATTTAAAGGGATTTGTTTCTGAGGCAAAGGCCGAGTATTTTCTTACAAATTGAGCTGCCTGTAATAACCTATACATGTGGGTTTGTCATACCTGTTGGCTTCCTTTTTAATTGCATCTTACTCCCTATGCTTGACAAGGACACAAGATGTCAGTATCCAATAGTTTTGGGATTTTTTTTAATGTTTACTACTGCTACAATATTCAGGGACAGAGTCTGGGAACTGATTCAATCTGTGATATGCTTAAAGACGCAGTAAAGATGATGTGGGAGCACTTCTTATCTTGTGGAAATACAGTCATTTGAATTGGCCTCTCCTTCTCGTGAGAGAGAGAGAGAGAGAGAGAGAATGTAATTGAAAGTCATGGTGATCGTATGAGTTTGTCTTGTGAGAATGTACGAATTCCAAACCGAAGATGTATATAAGGGCTAAAAAACGTGGGCCTCATTCTATTCTTTCGCCTTGTGGGAATGAATTTGATATATCACTCGGGCTTTACGTATCCTCTAACAATTTGCTTAAAATTGAGATCTTTCTAATTATAGAGATTTGATGAGTAATGGACAGTTATGTGAATATCGGTATAATGTATGTTGATGCTTAGTAGACATTTCACCAGCTCTGATGCTATAAATGCGATGTTTAAAGTGCCATTTGATACATTCGGATCAAGAGAGAACTAGTACAACATCGTGTATTGTGGACAACGCTCTCTCTCTCTATATTCAATCAGCGACAAGTGGTGAAGGTTTCGTCATTTTCATTTTTCCTCTATACGTCAGTATAAACCTAATCATGCACATTTAGTGTTTCAATGCCTTGAAAACTTGGATAAATTTATAAGGTAAGTTCCTGATCAGGTAAATATACTAAATACTCAGCAGCGCCATTTCCCCATGTCAAACAATCGGACAACGCATTTGACGTGACTTCAGCCTAATCAAAAGATGACAAATGTGGATTAAAGACCAACCTGTATCTTCTGTTGCTCTGGTAGAAGACGTGGAAATGATCTCTCTGGTCGCATCTCCTGGCCGTGTGATACATTATCGTCTCTCCATTCTTTATCCAGCACGATGCCCTAGTACGGCTGGAGATAGCTTGGATTTTTGGAGAATATTGGGGAGTTAGGTTGAGAACTGGTTAAACAGTCTCTATAGTTCGTAATGTCGTACACCCTGAACTTGTTAACACCCCGATTTTACGTTCCTCTTTTCGTAAAGTCGACGGTAAACTTTTCTATTGTTTACTTTCCTTTTTCCTATTAACTTTAACCGACTCCACTAAGGCAGTAACTAAAAGGAAATTGTACCGCACTTTCTTTTTCTTTCTTTAAATGACAACTCCTCCAAGACTTTTCCCTTGTATTTGACCGAATCCAATAAGAACTTTAATTTCCACATGCGTTTCTTTTTTTCTTTGATTTCATATTTTCGCCTCAAGCTCAACTCGAGACATGGTCACAATCGCTTCGCTAAAAATTTGAATTTTGCTGCTACTCTCTCACAGCGTCCAGTGGGCTCAACCGCCACAGACATCTTTTAAGTCCAAGCCTCGCTTAAACTTCGTCATAACCGTGGATTTCATAAGAACACGAGCTCCACCTGCACCTTTAACTATTCTACAAGGATTTTCCAACGCAATCTCCTCAATTACAAATAAAGCAAAACCACCGTTGCGTCCATACCGTACACCTTGTTAAACTTGGTAGATACAACAATTGTTGGCTCTATAGGCTCCACCTCATTACAAGCGCCATCCGTGTCAATTACTTCGCTAGTACTTGCTACCTTAAGAGTTTTTGGTTGCAATTCCACCTCAAGTTGTATACCATCCATATCCATATAAACACTGCTATAATCATTCCTCGACAGAAGTACTGAAGACTCATCAAACATAACTTTTCTGCTGATAACATGTGACTTTAATTCCGAGTACCATAACCGAAAACCCACTCACTTTGTGTATAACCTCGGAACATGCATTTTCTTTTCCTTCCATCGAGCTTGCCAGTACTCGTTCGCATATAACATGGACAACCAATTTTAAAAACAGAAGAATCAGCAATGTTACCTAGACTACACTTATTCAGGAGTCTCACATCCAATCGCAGTTGAAAAGGATCTATTCATTAGGTAGCTTGTCGTATTAAGCGCATCCACCATAAATTTTCTAGTCAAACCAGCTCTGAAGAGCATTTTATGAACCGTCTCTAGTATTGTTTTGTTCGTCAACTCTGTAACATGTTGTGATTCATTTGCACTACTGCAGTGTTTCACTATGCCTTCTTGCATGCAAAATTTGTTAATAACTCCAAGTAAAACTCCATACCATTGTCAATATGCACATGCTTGATTGTTTTACCAGTCTCATTTTCTATCAAACATTTCAATTGCCTGATCCTACATCAGTATCAAACTCGTGTCTCAACAAGCACACCCAAGTCTTCATCGAGTAATCATAAACAACTATTAGACTATTAGCATAAACTTGGGAAATCTCGACAACTTGCGAACATCCTAGTGAAATAACTCTGCAATCTATGTGGTTTCTTTAACGGTTGTACTGAATTGCACTTTCTGCCGTTGATCTAAGTCACGGCACTAGCATACTTTCACTTCGTCAACAACATAATTATATAATAAATTCCTTTCACTTAGAACCTTCAAACTTTTCTCGCTAATATGCCCTAAACGCATACGCCACAATTCAAACTCTCAATTAGATGCATCTGACATCTCCGCGGTGAAATCTGTCGCTGTTCACCTTGAAGCTTATATAGGCCACTATACTTAATTTCTTTCATTATCATTAAGACACCTCGAACAACCTTCAGAATTTCACCTTCTTAAGTATACCGACACCTAACTGTATCCAGAGCATTCACGGAAATCAAGTTTTTCTTCAACTGTGGAGCATGCCTCACTCAAGTCAATGTCCTCATGATATCATCATGCATTCTAATTAACATCACCAACACTTACAACATCGCAATCAACGTTGTTCCCCAACTGTACTTTACTACTATTCATGCACTGATAAGTAGTAAACCGGTTTCCATTTGGTGTAGCATGAAACAAATAACCCGAATCCATAATCCATCCACCAAACAACGAATCCTTAGTGACAGACAAGATATAAGCAACACCATCCGAATTACTATCAACTATAGTTGCAACATCATCAGTAAACTAAACTCTATTTCTCCACCATTGTCTTTTTCAACTTAAAACAATCTTTATATGGTGCCCTATCTTACCACAATTCCAACAGACAGCACCACTAGTCTTAGACTGACTTCGTTTGTTCAAGTTTATACTACTTCTACTTACACTAGTATTAGTTCTTCTTCTACTTTCAACTACTAAAGCAGGAGACATAGATTCACCATATATTATTCTACGTATGTCCTCACTCATAATTAAATCTTGAATCCCATTAAACGTCAAACTTGTTGATTCAGAGAAATTACTAACAACAATAATAACAGTATTCTAACTATAATAGAATCAAAGCACATACCTCATCTTCGAAGTCATTCTCAGCCGAACTCAATTAACTAACAATCACATTGAATTCATTGATAGGATCAGTAATTCACGCACCTTTGCTCATATTTAAGTTAAATAAACGTCGCATCAAATAGTCACAGAGGGCTTCTTGTACATATCCAATAGGGCTTTCATCAAACTCACAGTGGTATTCTCTTTCACGATATTACACGCGATGTTACGAGCCAACATCAGTCGAATAGCACCCAACACTTGTCTATCCATCAATTCCCATTCAGCTCGCTTCCTCGCCTCAAGTTTCTCCACAGATAAGGAGCAATTGCAATTTCATTTGATACAGATACTCCTCAATATGCATCTTCCAGAAACCAAAATCCTTCCCGTCAAATCTGTTGATTCTTACTTTTCCTTCTTTTGTCACTATTGAATCTCTTCAATTCAGTCAAGTCTAGCTTTGATACCAATTGTTGGAGAAATAAGTGATCGAATAATAAAATAAAAATAATAAGGAAATAAATCAAAAACCAAATTTACGTGATTCGGTCATAACGATCTACATCCACGGCATGCGTTAACGAATTCCACTATTAAAAAAACGATACAACGGAGATTACAACCACATCCGAATCACTCAAACACTCTCGATGTTTCCAAGCCCCCAAATTACACTCAATAACTTACACAATATTTAGCTTAATAATTACTCACGAAATAATCTTGCAATCTCACAAAGAAATTAATAAATCTTACCACAAGATTTAATCAACTTGAACACTAACTACATGGTATATAATTCACTAAGAAAGCCCACGAAGTATATCCATTGTCAAGTGCTCGAGCAGCCCTTCGAGCACTCTTCTTGGACATAATTTTACGAAGACCCACGTCTGCTATTTTTCATCAACGACGGCGCACCTCTATTCGCTAAAAACATAACAGCCCATATATATATATATAATGGTAGAAAACCCTTCTTAAAGTTGAGTCCAACGCGAAAGGAAAAAGTAAAGGAAACTTCAGGTCAACTTTCCTCTTATTTACCTTCCTTTTTCCTATTAACCTTGACCGACTCCAGTAAAGCAGTAACTAAAAGGAAATTGCACCGCACTTTCTTCCTCTTTCTTTATCTGACAACTCCTTCAAGACTTTCCCTTATATTTGATCAAATCAAACATGAACTTTAATACTTTAATTCATATTTTCGCTCCGAATATTTTCAACATATATATTTGTTATTATTCAATTTTGGTCCTCATAGTCAAAATTTGAGGAGACATTTGGTCCATAAACTGACATTTGGTCATGACTTCAAAGTAAATTTCATGTTTCCATTCAAATGTTAATAATAAATGCTACTGAAAATCAAAATCCGTGTCGATGGGTTGCAATCGGTGGAAAAAAGAGATGATTTGAACTTGGAGTTATAATGATTCAATTAGATATACGTGAGCCAAATCCACAAAAGGAGAACGCATGTGGTTTTCTATTTAGGATAAGTTTCTACACGATTGTTGTGATGTTATTAATTTGAAGTACCCGCGTTCCTAAATGGTAACTATTCGAGTACTGTTTTCGGGAGCTTGATCCATGTGGGCAAAGACCGAATCGTTAACTCTCATCTTAGGTCACCATTTTTTTGCAATTGCTTATTCCGTATCGGTTGAGTATATTAAATTTTATCACTCAATCAATGTTTTTTTTTTGTCTACATTTGGATGCAAATAAGAAATTGGACCAGAAATTGCAATCGAAGACTAAATTAGGGACTAAATCTAAAAAAACAAAGTATGAGATGATAATTGAACAGGCGATGAGTGCACTGGAAATCCTAAAACTTATCACAAAAATGCAATTGAATCCTAAAATTTTTTAAAATATTCAATTAAGTCATAAAACTTGTCAATGCGGGGCAATCAAATCCTTTTATTAACTCCATTCAACTTGGCTAACGGAAAATACTAACATGATTTTTTTAATTATTTTCTGTCTCCTACATGATGATGACGTGGCTAAAATATGAAACATAAAACTAAACGACATCGATTTGGTCCAAATTTGATTTTTTCAATATTTTATCTAAATTACATTAAACATAAGAAAACTTTAAAAAAAAAAACGCAAAAAACAGACGAGGGCTTGCAGCCCTCACTGCCTCTGTTGTCGCCCCACCATCACCGGGAAGGGCTGGTGATGGTTGGCGGGGGTCGTCGGGCCCCGGCCCTCGCTTGGGCTTGGCCAAGGGCCACTACTGGCATTGTGGTCGCGGCGGTAGCGAGGGCTGCCCTCGGTTTTGCTTTTTTTTTTTGTATTTTCTTAAAGTTTGCTTATTTTTTAACATAACTTATATAAACTTTGTATTAAAAAAATCAAATTTGGACCAAAACAATGTTGTTTTTGCCACATCAGCACCACGTAGGATAGAAAAAAAAAAAAGCCATGTCATTATTTTCTTTTAGCAAAATTGGAGAAAGTTAACGAAATGACTTAAAGTTTTAAAACTTAATTTTTTTTTTTAAGTTTTAGGACTGGATTATGCTTTATTGACAAGTTGTAAAACTTCGAGTGCACTTTCTCTATTGAATAGTGACAATAGTACATGAACTACTTTTTTCAATTTACCTTTTTTCCCAATCGTGTCACTCCTTTCTTTTCACATGCAAATAATACAAGAATATGTTATTTCCTGCCACCTCATTTGTATATTCGATCAAATAAATTGACGAAATTATAATTTCCTTTGTCTTTCTGTCCGCCAATTATCATTATATGTTATTCATATAAAGGAAGGGGAGGACGCGTCTTTTGTTTCGCAAAGAATCAGCAATTAGACGTTTATATCGCCTAATTTAATGAGTTGATGAAAATTGATTTTATTATTAACAATAATCTATGATTAACCATTTTTGTTGATAGTGGGAATATAGTTTCCGGTAAAACAGTAATGTGCGTGACACAAATGATGACAATTTGAATTTTTTTCTTTAAATTGAAAAATTATTTTTTGGAATAGATAAAGTCGAATTTCTTTTATAGGTTAATATCAAAAGAAATCCCAAATTGGTACACTTACGATAAATTTACCTCAAACTAATTTTTTGACCATCAAAACTCTAAACTGGTACACCTATGATAAATTTTTCCTCCGCCGTTAGTTTTCGTTAAATTTTACTGTCAAATTACTGAGTTGAAAGACACGTGGCATTTGATGAGTGTACTAATTTGGAGTTTTACACTTTTGTTTGTCATAAGTTTATTAGTTTGTGATTTTTCGTAGTATTAATCTAATTTAACAGAGGTAAAATTCTCACAAGTATACAAATTTGGGGTTTTTGGTGGTCTAAAAATTAATTTGAGGTAAATTTGTCATAAATTTATCGGTTTAGAATTTTTGTTGATATTAACCCTTCTATTTTTCCTTCTCGCAAAAATTTAATTTTTCTTTTCATTTATCATTCGGACACAGTCAATTGTCACTCTCTCTCTCTCTCTCTTCTTCCCAAAAAGTATTTTCCTTCCTCCGAAAGGTCCTTCAACAAGCTCCTTCAATGGGGTCCCACTCGCTCAAATTTTTCTCTACTTGCTGGCGAAGCAAATTTGCTTTTACAGGCGAGAGAGAAGACGCAGCGCGCTGACGTTCAGCTTCCCCATTCTTTATATAAACCGGCGATCGTGGCCAGTGCAATCTGTCTCGTGGAAGGAGCGAAAAACCAACGCTCAAGTGACTGAACCCTCTCCGGTACGTCTGTCGATGCGCTCGTACACGTGAATTTTCGAAATCGCTCTCGATTAGTTTTGCTGTGCTCTTGTGTTAGATGAGAGAATGCCTCTGAGTGATATCATCTGGAACTCTGCTTCTGTAGCTATGTATCATGAATGGGATGTGGCTGTTTTTTCAGTCCAGTTCTTGGTCTGTGGTTTTAAGGGGGATTAACACTCACCTGCCAGTGTTATTCTCTTATGCTTCTTAAGAGGAATTGTGGGCGTGTTTTTTTTCTTGACTGCAGTTCTTGGTTTCGGGTTGCTGTAACTATCATGGCCTACGTTCCTCCGCATAAGCGACATTCCAAGGAGAGCGGTGGCCCGTCCCCTGTTCCGGCATCGCTTGAGCGGCGGTTCAAGAAAGGTCTTAACTCGAGGTCGCCCAAAAGTAGTGCTCATCACTGGATCGATGCAGACACGGCGAAATATAGATGGTTGGCTGTTGGTTTGGATGATGATGGGGATCATCTTCCTTCTGGCGTCTTTCTCAAGCCGGTCTCTGTTGAGGCCGTTGGATGGCAACCAGGAGCGAAACCGCTAGCCTTAGTCAAAAGCTGTATAGTTAATGGTAAGTGATGGTTCCTTCGACATTGAGATTCCATGTGCTCTAGATATCTTGAGTTGTGGATTCATGTTGACCTTAATGTAATTGTTGGCTTCTCAGAAGAAGATGAAACTTTGCAGGACCATAGGAGGAAACCTTGGGAACAGATAGCCGAAACTGTGATGCAAGATTTAGTTTGTTCATTCGAAACTTTGAGGAGTGAGATTAAGGATCAGAGCATGGGAGAAACAAAACCAACAATGGTTGCTAGATTCGGCAAAATTCTTTTTCGTGGGTAAGTTGCTGGAATCAATATAGGTGAATAATTAGCAACTGCTACTTTATGTAACATTTGACTCTGTTTCATCGGTTGATGTCCCCGTGGAACTAAACGTGGTTTAGGGAGAGTTCAGCATTTGGCAGTGGTTTGCACACACAAAAGAAATTTATCAACGGCCTGTTTGTTTAGAATTAAATGCAACTAAAAAGTACTTTTGTTGCTTCTCAGCCAAAATATTTTATCTGAATTTCAAAAGTTCATAAAAAAAAATTTGTACGCAACAATTGCATATTGTGGAAGTTTCAAGTGTTTAGAAATAAAAACAAAAGGTCAAAGTGCATGTGTCGCAATATTTCAATTAAACAAAAAGCAAAAAGTAAACTATCCAGACACGCCCTTAATAATGCAATTTAAATTTTTGAGAATCTCAATATTCTGCTTATTGTATCTCTTTAAAATCGTGCTTCACGTTGCAAGTACCGCACAAGCTAGGCTTTGCTGCTAATAAAGCATAATTGTTTTGCATAGTTGGAAGGTTGAACTTCTTATAATAATTATTTTGAGTGTAGTTCTAAAATATTTGGATGACAAGATAGACACATAAGCTCAACATAATTTTTGGCTGCAGGATTCCTTCACTTCCAGTTGAAACTTGTGGAGAAATGGTAACACTGAAACGGTTGAAAAGATCATTTCACACATATCTTCCTTCCTTTTATATGGAAAATGTGACTCATAAAGTTATCCCAGAGATTGGCCTTAGTTTTGAAGATGAAAAGGATGTATATCATGTCGAGGTGCTTAAGTCTCTAGTTTGTACTCTTTTACTTTTTAATCTTTCGTATGCATTTCCATAATATTGACTGGTCAGTTGCATCCATCTTTCTGTGGCGCAGTTATCTGATAAGTCCAGGCCAGGTGCAACCATCTGCTGCAAGTGTAGTGTTATCAAGGCTGAGCAGAGACTCGAACTCTATAAGGCAAATTCCTGCTTCTCACCACATAATGAGAGCTTATACAAAAATTTACCCTACTTGTTTCATGCTAGAGGCATTATCTCATTTTAGATCAAAATAAAAATCATGCATAATGCTAATTCTGTAAGTTTATACATGGACTATACCTTTACCTAAATGGTCGAGTTATTTTCATTGTTTATAAAGGCATTGACAACTGCAAATTTTGGTTGTAGGTCGAATTAGGGCCGGTGCGACACCTGATAGTTGATGTATCATGCTTCAGTAAGGATCTGGATCTGAGGTTGATGTTACGCACCAAGAGAATCTTGACGGCTGTCAGCGTAAGTAATTGAAGCTAGGATCCATGTGAAACTTCACTTTGTTGGAGGCACTTACTATAGGGCCTGTTTGTTTTAGCTTAAGTGAAAACAATTTTTTTTACTTTCTTGCCAAAATTTAAAATTTATTCGATTTTAAAAAAATTATGAAAAATTATATGTGATACTACATGTCTAAATTTGACTTTTGTGAAAGTTTCAAGTGTTTTGGATTTGAAAAAGGCTTGGGAATTTTGACTAAAGTAAAAAGTAAAAAGTAAGAGCCAATCCAGACAGTCCGTAGCTCTTATTGCAGTGATTACTTCTTCGTCTCAAGTCCTACCTATTGAACAATGAGGGTGATATAGCTTGGTAGATAATTTGCAAGGAATGACTGTTACCCTTGTTATATGTTATGTTTTCCTGGAGACATTTCTTGGGCCAGTTCCTATTGCAGCAGAAGAAAGCAAGTGAAGTGATCTATACTGAGAGAAATCCGTATGTAAAAGAGAATGATTAGTGCCAATGGTTGCATTCCCAAAAATTTCGTTCACAGCCCAATTTACTGAGAACTTATGCTTGAGACAATTTTCGACCTTAACTTTATTTCCCTGGGCAATCAAATTTTTTTGCCACATTGCAATCGTAATTGTTACTCCCTGTAATTTACTTCAAATTGTTCATGCTTCGCAGGAAAATGAAAAGAACAGCATCAGGGATTTGGTTACTTCTGCAGTTTTAGATTCTAGTGTTCAGGGGGGTTTAAGGTGGCCTCTGGAGAAGGCATCATCTGGGGATAGATACAGTGTCATTGGGGTATGGCATACAATCTCTACAACTTACAAGAATTCATTGATGAGGCTGAAGGTGAGACATGCTGATCGGTTTGATTTGAGGATTTCCCAAGGGAAAGTTGTTGAAGAAATTACCTTGAAGTTGAATGGAATAACTTCTGAATTGCATGTAAGTTCGTTTATCCCCTGCTAAAAGAGACTTAGTTTTTTTGTGTGTACTTTGGTTGTGAATGTGAATTGGTTCCATGTGCTCCAGCCATAGGTCTGACCATCCGCTCAATACTAGAATCAACAATTGAAGCATCCTGTAATTTCTGGATTCATAGCCGACTGTGAAAGCCTGCCAATACATATTAACTTGTTTTAGGCATAGAATTTCTGGTTGCTTCTGAAATCTGGTATAGTGCATGCCAAGTTTTAAGTTTGAATCTATTTTCACTAGAATTTCCTTTTCATCAAAGGAAACGAGTTGATTCTTTTTTCCTGGTTTTTTAAATTTTTTTTATTTTGAGTGTTTTAGCTGTTAGATTGGGTTGCATTCTTTCACCTTTGCAAATCCTAGAATTTGTAAATTCAACTCTGCCTCTTGATATATCAATTTGATTCTGTGTGTTGAATTTACTGTTTCACAAGGACGATGTGCTCTTGATGAAACACTATATGTTATACAACGCACGGTTAACTCTTTTTTTTTTTTTTATGTTAACTAATGTATGTCAAAGGATTTGTTTCTGAGACAAAGGTTGAGTATTTTCTTACAAAGTGAGCTGCCTGTAACAACGTATACATGTGTGGTTTTTCGTACCTGGTGGCTTCCTTGTCATCGTCTTCATCATCAGATCTCGTATGAGGTTTCGTGTTGAATTGCATCTTACTCCCTATGCTTGACAAAGACACAAGATGTCAATGTCTAATAGTTTAGGGGTTTTCATTTTGTTTACTACTACTGCTACAATTTTCAGGGAGAGAGTCCGGAAACCAATTCAATCTCTGATCTGCTTAAAGATGCAATAAAGATGATGTGGGAGCACTTCTTATCTTGTGGAAATGCGGTCATTTGGCCTCTCTTTCTCAGCGCGCGCTCTCGCGTCGGAGAATGTAAATGAAAATCAGGGTGATTGTATGAGTTTGTCTTGTGAGATTGTACGAATTGCAAACTCAGGATGTGTGTAATCCTTCTTCTGTTTTTTCGCCTAGTGGGAATGAATTTGATCTATGGCTATCGCTCTAGCGATTTGCTTCAAAATGAAATCTTCTTTTTAATTATGGAGCTTTGATGGGGTTATGCATCTTCTTATCACGTTACAGTTATGTGAATCTCTGATACTATAAATGTGCTGTTTATCGTGCCATTTGACATATAGAGATCAAAAGAACACTAGTATAATATTGTGTATACTGAAAGATGCTCTCTCTATTGAATCAGCGACTAGTGGTGAAGTTTTGGTCGTTTTTTTTTATGTCGACCCAAAGTGGTTTTGAGCGGTTGCGAAAGGAAGAACAACGAACGAAGAAGAAGACGAAAATAGTTCATGAACTTTAGCCCAATGTGTGATGTGGTTCTCGAAATTTTAAGTTGCTCAATGTGCAATAACGTCCCTAAATTTTAAGTTATTCAATGTAGTTCATGGACTTTTGGTTTATATTCAATTTAACCCCTGGACTAATATGAAAATGTTCAATGTTGTCCTCGAATTTAAATTAATAAAAGTATAATATTGAACATTTTCATATAATTCATGGACGAAATTGAACATGTACAACCCACCCATCGGTGGCCGTGTTGGTTTGCGCTCAGTTCCTTTCACGAGAGGTCCTGGGTTCAAACTCGTCCATTGGTAATTTAAGTGGGGGGTCATGGCGGTGGGATGTTGCGCTAGCCCCCCTCGAGGACTAGTCGGGCATCACTGCTGGTTTGAGCCCTAGCTCGCCGGCTGGGCGGACACCTCGATTATAAAAAAAAAAAAATTGAACATGTACAAAAAAAATTCAAGGATCATGTTGCACAAGGGGTAAAGTTTAGAGACTATATTGAATAAATTAAAAGTTCATGGACCACATTGCACCTTGGGCCAAAATTCATGGACTATTTATGTTATTATTCCGAGGAAAAGCAAAAGGAAAAAAGAAAAAAAAAAGAAAGAAAATAAAAAAACCCAAATATGTCCCGATCATGTCTTTGAAAAGTGATATGAGAGATGCACATGCTCGCTTAGGTCCGTATTTTTTTTTGGTCACTGCTTAGGTCCTTATTTGAAGTGGCCTATTTAGACCCTTATATGAAATAAAGTTTATTTGAAGTCCTCTTTTATGGAAAAAAAAAGTACCACTTCAATTCCTTATTAGTCTGACAAAAAAAAAGGGTTAATACCACGAAAAACCGCAAATTAGTATATTTGTGATAAATTTATCCAAAATTAATTTTTTAATCATAAAAAACCCTAAATTGGTATATCTGTGATAAATTTGCCCATCGTTAGTTTCGTTAAAATTTATCGTCAAATTGCTGAGTTTGATGACACTTAAATGTTGACGGGTGTACCAATTTGGGGTTTTACCCCTCCGTTTGTCACAGATTTACCAATTTGTGATTTTTCGTGGTATTAATCCAATTTTATGGAGAATACATTTGTTACAAGTGTATCAATTTGGGTTTTTTGTGGTAAAAAAAATAGTTTGAGGTCAATTTGTTACAAGTGTACCAATTTGCGATTTTTAGTGGTTAAAAAATTAATTTCGGGTAAATATATTATAGATGTACTAATTTGAGATTTTTCGTGGTATTAAAAAAAAATACTTATTTGAAATTTCCCCAAATATCTTTTCCTTCTCGGGAAGGTCCTTCTTCCCCAAGCTCCTTCAACGGGTCCACTCACTCATGGTTTCTCTACTTGCTCGCGAAGTAGGTTGCTTTTACAAGAGAGAAGACAAAGCGCACTGATGTTCAGCTTCTCCATTCTATATATAAACCGTCGATCATGGCCAACCCAATATTGTCTCGTCAAAGGAGCAAAGAGCAATGCTCAAGTGACTGACCCCTCTCTGGTACGTCCGCCGCTGCGCTCGTGCATGTGAGTTTTCGATGATCGCTCTCGTTTAGTTTTGCCGTGCTCGTGTCAGACGAGAGAATGCCTCTTGAGTGATATCATCTGAAACTCTGCTTGTATAGCTGTGTATCATGAATGGGATGGGGAGCGATTCTTTTAGCACCGTTCTCAGCCCGTGGGTTCAGGGTGATCAACAGTCACCTGCCAGTGTTGTTCTCTTATTCATCTTTAGAGAAATTGTGGGCATGTTTTCTTTCCTGACTGCAGTTTTCAGTTTCGGGTTGCTGTAACTATCATGGCCTACGTTCCTCCGCATAAGCGACATTCCAAGGAGAGCGGTGGCCCGTCCCCTGTTCCGGCATCGCTTGAGCGGCGGTTCAAGAAAGGTCTTAACTCGAGGTCGCCCAAAACTGATGCTCATCAGAGTGGTAGCATCGAGTATGCAGACCCGGCGATATATAGATGGTTGGCTGTTGGTTTGGATTATGATGGAGATCATCTTCCTTCCAGCGTCTTTCTCAAGCCGGTCTCTGTTGAGGCCGTTGGATGGCGACCAGGAGAGAAACGGCTAGCCTTAGCCACAAGTTGTGCAGTTAATGGTAAGTGATCGCTCCTTAGATAATGAGATCGCATGTGCTCTAGATATCATGAGTTATGGATTCATGTTGACTTTTAATGGCATTCTTGGCTTCTCAGAAGATGATGAAACGGGTCGGGACCATACGAAGAAACCTTGGGTGCAGATAGCCGAAACTGTGATGCCTGATTTAGTTTCTTTATTCGAGGATTTGAGGAGGGAGACTAAGGATCAGAGCATGGGAGAAATAAAACCAACAATGGTTGCTAGATTCGGGAAAATTCTTTTTCGTGGGTAAGTTGCTCGACTCTGTTTCATTAGTTGCTAGAGAGAGTTCAACATTTGGCAATGATTTGCATACACAAAGGAAATTTATCAAGGGCTTGTTTTTTTAGAATTACATTCAAGTAAAACGTACTTTTTCTTTTGGTTTTCTGCCAAAATATTTTATCCAAATTTCAAAATATTATGAAAAGAATTATACGCGGATGTTCCTGTCAATAATTGCGTATCGTGAAAGTTTCAAGTGTTTAGGAATATAAAGAAAAAGTCAAAGCGTATGTGATGCAATTTTTAGATTAAACAGAAAGCAAAAGAGTAAAAATCTATCGAGATACGCCCTTAATAATGCAATTTAAATTTTTGAGAATCTGAATATTCTGCTGTGTGATCATGTAAATTTCTCAGACTTCAAAGCACCTTGCTTATTGTATCTCTTTAAAATCATGCTCCACGTCGCGAATACCGCTCAAGCTAGGCTTTGCTGCTAATAAAGCATAATTGTTTTGCATAGTCGGGAGGTTGGACTCCTTATGATAATCATTTTCAGTGTAGTTGTAAAATATTGGGATGACAAGATAGATAAATAAGCTTAACATAATTTTTGGCTGCAGGAGTCCTTCATTTCCAGTGGAAACTTGTGGAGATATGGTTACAGAGGCTTCATTGAAACGGTTGACAAGATCATTTTACGCAAATCTTCCTTCCTCTTATATGGAAAATGCGACTTATAAAGTTATCCCAGAGATTGGCCTTAATTTTGAAGGCGAAAAGGATATATATCATGTCGAGGTGCCGAAGTCTCTAATGTCTACTTCTGTGATTTTTAATCTTTCGTATGCATTTCCATAGTATTGACTGGTCAGTTGCATCCATCTTTCTGTGGTGCAGCTATCTGATAAGTCCAGGCCAGGTGCAACCATCTGGTGCAAATGCAGTGTTCTTAAGGCTGAACAGAAACTCTAACTCTATAAGGCAAATTCCTGCTTCTCACCACATAATGAGAGCGTACTCGAAATATTACCCTACTTGTTTCATGCTAGAGGCATTATCTCATTTTAGATCAAAGTAAAATCATGCATCATGCTGATTGTCTGGAGTTATATATGGACTATACATTTACCTAGATGATCGGGTTTTTTTCATTGTTTATGAAGGTATTGACAACTGCAAATTTTGGTTGTAGGTCGAATTAGGGCAGGTGTGTGTGCGGCACCTGGTAGTTGATGTATCATGCTTTAATAAGGATATGGATATGAGGTTGATGTTACTCACCAAGAGAATCTTGACGGCTATCATCGTAAGTAATTGAAGCAAAGATCTAAGTAAAACTTCACTTTGTTGGAGGCACTTAATAGGGCCTGTTTGTTTTAGCTTAAGTGAAAACAATAATTTTTTACTTTCCCCTCAAAATTTAAAAATTATTCGAATTTAAAAATTATGAAAAATTATATGTAATACTTAAAAAAAGCTCGAGCATGTGAGTAGTTAAATTTTGATTAAGTAAAAAGTGAGATGTAAGAGCCAATCCAGACAGACCATAGCTCTCAATGCAGTAACTTCTTCTTCATCTCGAGTCCTACCTATTGAACAATTAGGGTAATATAGCTTGGTAGATAATTTGCAAGGAATGACTGTTAGCCTTGTTATATGTTATGTGATATGGCAAATTGCTTTTCCTGGAGACATTTTTTGGGCCAGTTCATATTGCAGCATAAGAAAGCAAGTGAAGTGACCTATACTGAGAGAAATCCGTATGTAAAAGAGAAGGGAAAGGGCCAATGGTTGCATTCTCAAAATTTTTGTTCACAGCCCAATTTACTGAGAACTTGTGCTTGAGACAATTTTCGACCTTAACTTTATTTCCCTGGGCAATCAAATTTTTTTGCCACATTGCCATCATAATTGTTACTCCCTGTAATTTACTTCAAACTGTTCATGCTTCGCAGGAAAATGAAGAGAACAGCATTAGGGATTTGGTCACTTCTGCAGTTTTAGATTCTAGTGTTAAGGGGGGTTTAAGATGGCCTTTGGACAAGGCATCTTCTGGGGATAGATACAGCGTCGTTGGTGTATGGCATACAATCTCTACAACTTACAAGAATTCATTAATGAGGCTGAAGGTGAGACATGCTGATCGGTTTGATTTGAGGATTTCCCAGGGGGAAGTTACTGAAGAAATTTCCTTGAAGTTGAGTGGAATAACTTCTGAATTGCAGGTAAGATCTTTTGTCCCCTGCCAAAAAAAAATGCAGTTTTTTTGCCATGTACTTTGCTTGTGAATGCGAATAAGTTCCATGTGCTCCAGCCATAGGTCTGACCATTGGCTCAATACTAGAATCGACAATTGAAGCATCCTGTAATGTCTGGAATGATAGCAGACTTGTCAAAGCCTTCCAATGCATGTCAACTTATTTTAGGCATAGAATTTCCGGTAGCTTCTGAAATCTGGTAAAGTGCACGCCAAGTTTTACGTTTGAATCCATTTTCACTAGAATTTCCTTTTCAACAAAGGAAACGAGGTGATTATTTTTTCCTTTTTTTATTATTTTTAGTATTTCAGCTGTTAGATTGGGTTTCATTCTTTCACCTTTGCAAATTCTAGAATTTGTAAATTCGACTCTGCCCCTTGATTTATCAATTTGATTTAGTGTGTTGAATTTACTGTATCGTGAGGCTGATGTGCTCTTAATGAAACACTATATGTTATACAACCCACAGTTAACTCCTTTTTACATTGAATAATTCATGTCAAAGGATTTGTTTTTGAGGCAAAGGTTGAGTATTTTCTTACGAATTGAGCCGCCTGTAACAACGTATACATGTGTGGTTTGTCATACCTGGTGGCTTCCTTTTCATCACCTTCATTATCAGATCTCGTTTGAGGTTTTGTGTTTAATTGCATCGTACTCCCTATGCTTGACAAGGACAAAAGATGTCATTATCCAATGGTTTTGGGGTTTTCATTTTGTTTACTACTACTACTACCACTATTTCCAGGGACAGAGTCTGGGAACTAATTCAATCTCTGATCTGCTTAAAGATGCAATAAAGATGATGTGGGAGCACTTCTTATCTTGTGGAAATGTAATCATTTGAATTGGCCTCTCTTTCTCAGTGCGCACGCGCGAATGTAAGTGAAAATTGTGGAGATTGTATGAGTTTTTCTTGTGAGAACTACGAATTGCAAACTTTAGATGTATATAATCCCCATTCTCTTTTTTCACCTTGTGGGAATGAATTTGATCTATTGCTATCGCTTTATGTGTCCTCTAGCGATTTGCTTCCAAATGAAATCTATAGAGCTTTGATGAGGTGCTGCAAGTTACAGTTATGTGAATCTCTGATACTATAAATGTGCTGTTTAAAGTGCCATTTGACATATACAGATCAAAAGAACACTAGCACAATATTGTGTATACTGAAAGATGCTCTCTATATTGAATCGGCAACTAGTGGTGAAGTTTTCATCGTTTTTTTTCTTTTTTTTTCGGTATGTCAGTGTGTGAACTTCATCATGTACATTCGGCATTTTAATGCCTTGAAAACTTGGATAATTTTAGAAGGTAAGTTAATATAGTGGTACTCGTAGTGCCATGTCCCATGTCAAACAATCATGCGATACGTCACATGGCTTCAGCCAAAAGTCAATAGAGGACAAATCTAGGTTACAGAAATGTGATACATTATGTCTCCCATAATGAAAAAGGGAATAAAAAATTCTCTGGTTACATCTCCTGGACACGAAATTCATTATGTCATTTCAATTCTTCATCTATCAGGGTGCGCTGGTATGGCTGGAGGCGACTTTGGATTTTTGGAGAATATTAGGAAGTTAGGTTGAGAACTTGTTATTCAGTCTCTGTAGTTTGTAATGTACACATTGACTTTATGTTCCTTTGCGTTAACAGCTCATGCAGGAATTCTGGACATTCCTGTTGATGCAGCACTTCAGATGTTTCTTATTCTTTCTGTACCTCTTATGTACTTGATGCGCCAAGAGCGAACGGCAGTATCATATCGGGATGGTCAAGAGTTGTGGGAAATTGACATATGCAATCAGCAATCTCCCAGGAAGGGTATGGTCCAGATCCTATGATGTCATCCAATGCCTTAAACTTTTGCTCTCTCTTTCTTTTCCTTTTGTGATTTTAATACAAACATGATCGATGTTCTTTTGCAATTTTCTCACCTATGGTTTTCTTTGTTGAGCATATATGCCCCAGGGGCCTAAAACCTGTTTTGGATGTTTTAAGTCTTGTGCTCGCTGCTCGCCCTCTCGCTTATAAATAAAACCTTCTCGCCCTCTGATGGCCAATCTCCTCTCAATTTCCTTATTTCAATAATGTACTTCACAAATTTTTTGTTTAATGTCACTAGTTCATGTAGTGTAAGTTGGTTAAAGAGATAGAATATAGAGTGTGAGTTCAGTAAAAATAGAGGCTCAAAGATACTATAAATTTGGAAAGGATCGAGAAATTTATTTATATTTCATTCATGGAGTATAAGAAAGATGGATGAAGTGGAGGTGTGCCTATGATATTGATTGTAATTGTGAAGTGCCGCTGAGGAAAAATTTGCTAGGATTGTTCTAGAGGCCAGCGCTTCTTTATGACACTGAATGTTGCGTCATCAAACACCGACTCGTGTTTTCGCCTTTTAGTCTCTGAACCCTACATATGCAATCTAATATTTCAGAAAAGCTACCCTATATCTTAGATTCCAACACAGTTAGGAAAAGGTTAAGAAAATTTAAAAGCTAGTAGGTGCAGAGTGTAAAATTTTTGGAAACCTTACGATGCAAGTAGTAAGGTTTCGCGACTAAAGGCGCAGAGTGTTTGTTTTAGAAATTAGAGGTTATATGATGTAAATAGCGGAAAACTTGAGGATGGAGTTTCTTTATTTTCTGAAATGATACAGCCACGCATGTTCTTTCAATTGCCATCATGAAGAATAGTTTTGATGTTCATCTACTCACGATGTTTTTGAGAAAATTGAAAATTGAGAATAATGTAAATACCTTCTGATACTTGAACTATTTAATTCCCTCGACATTGAATTCATGCAGGTGGATGTGAAGGTGAGACTTCAGTTCCGCTATATGTATGCATCAACAAATACACATTATTGAAATGTAAAATATGTTATTAAAACTTGCAATATGTACAAAACAAGTGTAGTTCCTTGGATCATCTTTCCAGTTGGAAATGACCTCTGATCATGATTAGAACTCACTGAACTTTTGAATTTGTCATGAAGATTTCCATTCATTCACTTTGACTCAACAGCAGATACATGACGCTTAAAAGTCTTCTTTCACCCAGTTTTACCTTTTACGGCTTCCATACCTTCGATATATATATTCTTTTATGTATGCTTACTCAAGAGGAGAAGCAGAGAGTCTTGACTCTGGAGACCTGGACATTATCAGATGTCTATTTTCTTGAAGAAAGCTGATCTCTACACCGACTTATGACAGCCGTACAGAACCTTCTGCTGCTGCAATAGCAATATGGTAGTAATTTTCAGGCTGGAAGTACATCTGGTGATCTTGAAAAGGATGTCGATGTCGAGTTCTTCTCCCTCTTTTCCTTCTGCGACCGTGTAAAGGATTGGAATTGTGAGTAATCACTATCAGAATAGCAGGCGCAATACTGCTTCGGATATCCGATTAAGGGCTATAAAGTGTTGCCGCTTACCTTGGCCACTGTGTTCTTCCAAGCTTTCTCGAGCTCGTCAAGGAACATATCAATTGTGGGCCGATCTTTGCTATCTTGGGCAACGCAGAAGATGGCAACTTGCAAAATGGACTCAAAGTCTGCCTTATTGACGTTTCCGTTTAGTCGCGGGTCCTCAAAATCCGATAGTGGCCGTTTGCCAATGCTGACATCCCTTGCCTGCCAAAAGACAACACTATATCGTGATTACAAATCTGCTGATCAATGTTCAGCATGCGCAGAGTCACGAAATAAGCTGTACCTTCCTCGTCAGCTGATCTCTGGCCTCAAGATCTAGCTCAATAACTTTTTGTCCTGAAAGAAGTTGGAGTGCGACAATGCCAAAGCTGTAAATATCACTGGCACAGGTTAGCTTGGCATTGCTCATATACTCTGGATCCATGTAACCTATCGTTCCTCTGACTTCGGTAAAAACTTTGCTCTCCTCCATGTTCAGGATTCTTGCCAGCCCAAAATCCGAGAGCTTTGGTTCCAAGTTCTCAGTCAAAAGAATGTTGGTAAGCTGCGAATCAAGCTCACACCATTATAAACATCCAACCAACCAAGCCGCTGCATAATTTGGTTTGTGGCCTTTGTGTGCAAGCCATTATTTTGTACCATTAGTCAGACGTGAAGTCATTATTTTGTCCAGTGCAAATAGGAAAGATATGCTATAGTCCGCATATCAGTGCATTGAAATGACTAAATTTCTAAGTGGAAAAATCTTGGAAGCAATTTTGATAGGGAAGCTTTCATGTGACGGCTTTAAATGGAGGATCAAGAGGTAACTCATACTCATTACCTTAATATCCCTATGAACGATGCAGCCGTCTGTGTAGTGGTGGAGATATCTCAGGCCCAGAGCGCATTCTCTTAGAATTTTGACTCTCCTTTCCCAGGTCAAGACAGTGTCTTTCCCTATAATTAGGACAAAACAAGCTAAGGTTGAAAAATATGAAATAAAAGTTACCTTTCTGGAAAAGCTTCTTTTCTGTTTTCTTTTAAGTTTTGAAGAAAAAAAAAATGATAGAGGTATGAATGGAGCGGATCCGGATGTACTTAGTAAATGATAAGCTAGATTCCCGGCAGGGCAATATTCGTAGACCAGGTACTGCTCGCCATCTTCGATGCAGTAGCCGAAGAGACATACTAAATTTTGATGTCGGACCCTTGAAAGACCTTCGACCTCCCGCCTGAAAGAGTCAGATGTGTTGCTCTTGTATATGTGTTTTATGGCTACAGCTTGTCCGCTTGGCAAGACGCCTTTGTAAACCCGACCTGCACTTCCTCGGCCGAGGCATTTTTTTTCATTATGGTAGTTAATTGTATTTTCGATCTCTGCCCTTGAGAACCTGTAGAGGCCAGACCACGTGCTCATCTCATTTAGCTGAGCCGATTTAGGAGGTTTGTTCTTCCCAGTCACTTGTTTTATCAGTGCAATGACCAGCATCAGTCCAACGGTCGCAATCAGCATTGCCAATACCACTTTCACCGTGGAACCTGGCGAAGATACGATTAATTTGTGCAAAAATGATGATGACTCAAGAAGGCAAACTACGAATTATGCAGAGTTGGTGGATGGCTACTTACTTTTGACTTTGATGTAACCTGTATCTGTTGACAGAAAAGAGGAGAGTCAAGATGAGATCGTGTTGAGATACTGGTAAGCAAATAGAGCTGCATGCATACCCTTAAAGCAACTGGGCGGGTAGGTATGTGTTCAGAATGAAATGGGTATCTGATTTTCTTGAAGGGAAATAGGGGCATAATAGAATAGCACTTTGTGTGAAGATGTTCTGGTTATTCATTGTTGCAACACAAATTCCTAGTACAAAATCATTCATCAGTTTTTTAGGTTAGAGCAGTTTTCTTCATCCTCTTATTCGTGTTACGTTATCAAACATCTTTGGAGAATTTAGTTGACATTCGATTTAAAATCAGTGAAATCTTTAGTTACGAGGCAATACGAAGCACAAACTTTGCATGTTCTAGAATTAGTAGTCGTCATTTTTGGCTGTAGTCCTTACCCAGCTTGTCTAGAGCAGGCAGACATCTGTAGAAGTCATCCATCGACGCAAGATCCTCTGCTTTCCAAGAGGCTAGATAAGTAATAACAGCCACCCCACAAATTGCCCTTTCTGTATTATTGTTGTTTGCCTGATAATGATTTAATATGCTCTCCCTTGCGTTCGCTATTGCATTAATGCAATTCTCGCAGACATCATCGAACGAAGTGTTGAAGTTTGTGCAATTACCCTGTGCATCTCTGTATGAATCTTGTTCATTGATAAATGATGGCAAGAAGCTGGAGCACCGGCTGCTTCCCTCGAAGAGATTGTTGAAGTGACATGAATTAGCCGGCACGCCCAATGGCTGGAGGAAATGGTTGCTACAGTCGTTCCACTGGTCGCTGCTGAGAAAGATGTTGCTTGTGTTATTTGCGTGAAGAGCCAAGGATTGGGACAAAGCCTCGAGGACATTTCCGCAGCAAAGCGTCGTGGGGTAGCTACCCCAGTAAGTGATCTTTTCTTGGTTGCCGATGCATTCGCCCGTCGGTTTATAGGGGAACGAGTTCAGTGGACAGGCTGCAATGCATTAAGGCGTGAAGGAGGAAATGGCAAGTACGTCGTGATATATCATGTACTGTGCTTTTCTGTTCTTTTGGGTGTGAATCAAGTATCTCCAAGCAAGTTTGTAGCATCCTTCGTTCTGCATACAACCCTTTTGGTAGTACTGATTTATACAGATTTTATTTCTACATACTTAGATTCATCGTGCATCGATACGCTTTTCCATTTAAATTGTCCATAAGAGGATTAAATCTCATCATCTAATGAGCTAGCGAATCTTTAAAGGACTTGCATTTTTCTTTCTATTGTCATCAAACTTGGACAGGAACAGATGAACGCATGATGCACGGCGAGGTTTGGTGACTCGACATGTATTGTGCGATCAATGGTGCTTGTGAAGAACTTCATATATAAAGGGAAGGGAAAAGAAGCAACGGACCTGGATCAGGCGAAGGCGCCGGGGACAGATCGCTTAAGGCACGAACCAGCAGAGCGGCGAAGCCAAAAAGACACAGCTGCAACATATGTCCTCTTGCTTCCATATCTTCTCCAGTACAATGTGCATTTGCCCTCAGAAAATGACTCTAGTCGTGCCGACGACAGCTCGATGCGCTAGAGAAGAACCGGCTGAAATTTTCGAAGAGATGAGGGAGGTGGTGTAGTTATAGACGATCTTCTTCCTTGTGATCGTCGACCACAGTTTGGAATATCCTCGCCTACATGCATATGCTGCTTACAGCTACCGAACCTTTGGGTTCAACGAGGAATGTCTGCAATAAAGACTTATATTATCCTTCTATGCTAAGGATCGGAACCAGATATGCTACGAAACTTGTTCTCACAGATTGTCTGCTTCTTGTGGGTGATAGCAAACCTCTCCCTAGTTATTAACTCCCAACTAAAAATTTAATCATTTTCGGACAGTTCGTCCAATCGGGATTTTCCTTAATCACATCACCGCGTCGGGTCGAATAATCGCTGGCGGCGAAATCTTTAGTATGGTAGAGTTTAAGAAGCTGTTGCTAGCATGGGTTTGCGCGGAATTTGGTACCTTGAGATGTTGTCATGTCTTAGGTCGTACCATACACGAGCTGGATTTGACATTCTCGAAATAAGTAAAAGAAATTAAGTAGTAAGAAATAGAAATAAGAGTAACATAATTAGATTATGGAATCAGAAGAATATCTGTAAATTTAGCACTTAAATGTTTGAGCCGGATTTCAAATTCTCGAATACAATTTATATGTCCCTTCTTAATTTCTTTATAAACATAAAGACAATTAATCATAGTCTTTTAAATAGCGTGGACAATTTGGTTTTTGGCTAATTTAGGTGCCGACATTAAATAAATATAATTGAATGCTGAAAAGTGACTTTTGCATCATAAATTATTTTCTTTAAAGAATATGCACTTACTTGGTTTTTTCGGCTTATTCATTCGCCGTCTCCAAATAAATTGCATTTAATGCTGAAATGTCACTTTTAAATAACAGATCAATGGTTGTGCGTTGCATGAATCTAAATTAATAATTCCGTTTTTCTCATAATCTTGGAACACGACCTCCATGAGCCAGCTACTTACAGGGAAACAAGCATTGTAATGTGCCGCCATAACCTCCTACTTAAATCTGAGTTTCTTTGTGGGCAAGAGTTGAACCCTCAACGATCGGTTCTTGAACGGATCAAGGATGGGCAACAAGGAGCGTATCTCTAATCTTTTATTGTTGAGAATACAATGTTACCATAGTGGTTGACGAAAAGATCAAATAACAAATCTACAACATCGAAAATTGATACACAATATCATATCCTATTCACCGATCATAAACATAACTTGCATAAGGAATTTTTTTTTAATGTCTTCAACTATTAATATCTACGAACGATTGTTCTCAGAAAACTATAATTATTTTTTTTGGTAAAAATCATTTCCTTTGGTGCTTCAAATCTTCATTTATTTTCCTTTCTTTGAAAAGATTATTAGATATGCTAACACATTCGCCATCGAGTGAATGACACGTGTTTTCGGAATTAGTTTTATTATCGAATTCTACTATGTTGTCGGTAATCCAATAGCCAGTGTGTAAATTATTTCTTAAACCAACGACCAATTTAATTAAAAATCGTTTAAAGCATATTATATGTATTTTCAAAAACCAAGGCTGCACAATGCACATATGTTGAAAGAAAAGAAACTTAAACATACATTAGGCTCCATTCGTTTGGCGGAAAATATTCTCCCGGAAAATATTTTCCGGGTTTTCCGGTGTTCGGGGGGCGGAAAACGTTTTCCGTGGAAAAATATTTTCCTTCCCCCCTCACAAAATAGCCTAAGTCTATGGAAAATGACTTCCTCTTCTTCAAAAGCGGAAATCATTTTCCGAGCTTCTTCTTCTTCTTCTTCACTAAGGTCGCCGGCCGCGGCCGGCCGCCGCCGCCGGCCGCCACCGCCCGCTAGACGCCGGACGTTGGCCATCGGTCGCCGGCCGCCGTTGCCGCCGCCGCCGCCCGTTGGCCGTCGGTGCCGGCCGCCGCCGCCGCGGACAACGCTGCCGCCCGGCCGCCGGCCGCCGCCGCCTGGACGCCGCCGCGGGCCGCCATGCCCGCCGCCGGTCGCTGGACGCCGCCGCGGGCCGCCGCCAGTCGCCGGCGAAAAATATTTTCCGAAACTTTTTCATATTGGTCGCCGAACACCGGAAAAATATGTTCCGGGAAAATATTTTCCAGGAAAATGACTTCCGGGAAAATATTTTCCAAAAGGAGAATATTTTCCGCCAAACGAACGGAGCCTAAAAATGATTCCGGTTTATATTATAGAATTTAACAGGAGAAACTGAAAATGCTATTTGCTCAGAGGAAATCACTAATATAATTTAAGAAAATTGATAATAATAAAAAGAAATGTAGAGTGAGATTGAAATATTGAAATAATCACAACAACGTCACATGCCTTATTTCCACACAATCTCTTATCCGGCTTCCCTCCCTTCCAAGTCCCACGCAGCTTGGCGCCTCTTTTTCTCGTCACTTCTTCTGCAAAGTCCGAATTTTTCTTCGAGATGAACAGAAGCGAGCCTCTCTCCATTCTCGAATCCTGCCCGCCTGTCGTCAAGGTCAGTTTTTTTCCTCTTCTTCTTTAGCTGGGCCATTAGTTTGGTGATGGGTCTTCATGAATTGGAAGCCATGAATCGGCTGGTTGGAGTAGTTCCTGGGGTCTTTGTGCGTTCAGTTTCTTGTTATTGATTGAGAATTTCAATGTCCCATGTCCGGAGTTTAAGCCAAGATTGGATTTTGAGTTGAATATGGTGGGAACATGACTGTTTGATCTTCTGGGTTGGCATTACTTCCCTGTTGTTTGGGAGATGAGGCGTGAGTGCAAGACTAGTTCACGGTGAAAGAAGCTAATTTCGTGGGGTGAATCAGCTTGCAGTAGGAGGAGAAAATTCCGAACCATGGCATCGGCTGCTGCGCGGTCCATCTGCCTGTTCCGCAACGAGAGCATTGGTGCTGCGTCTATTGCGGTTAACATTTTGGCTGATAGAAGTTCTCATATGAAGTTGCTGTGCCATCACGGCAAAGCTCGGGCGACTATGTGGACGGGCATAAAGACAACGAGGTACTTGGAAATGAAATGCTGTCAAGAGAGCCATTGTCGTTTCGAATCAAGTTGTTCTGGTTTGCCATTGCCGAGGAAAGACGAAGTTTCTTCATTGCGCGGAAGTCGTTCGAGAGTGCCTAAAGTAGTGGGTGACTTCAAGTTTTCTCTTGTTCCATTCATGGAGAATCGCTAGGTCCTTGACATGGTTTTGTCTCTTTCAAGGTAACTGAGAGTGCACGGGAGATATTTCAATTAGCAAGAGAATGGAATCAGCGACACGTCACCAAACTAGCTGCTTTAGCTGCATGCGCATTCTTGATAATTCCCTCTGCTGATGCAGTTGATGCTCTCAAAACCTGCGCTTGCTTGCTAAAAGAGTGCAGGTATTTTCTCCGTTAAGTTTTGTAATATTCGGGTATTAAAAAAAAAAGAAGTCAAAAAGTCAAAAGTAGTTACAGTGGCTTGGCTAAGTTAAAAGAAGACCGAGAGCTCCTTGCCAATAACAGAAACAGAAAAGGGAAGACGAAAAAGGGGAAAGGAGAAGATAAGGAAAGGCAAAAGAGGTTTTGCGCCGCACGAACCTCCCCTAGACAATTCGACTTCGTATTTCAACGCTCGTTAAGCACTCGCGTCCCTCGTTCGTCCGATCGGAGAAATTTCCAGATTTAGGGTTTAAATTCGGAATTTTGGGAAATTTAAGCAACGAAGTTCAATTTTTGAGTCGTTGAGCTGCGTATATATATAGAATTGGTAGTTAAGGGTGTCGTAGAGCCGTGGGATTTTACGGATCTCGATTTCGACTTACTGTTTGCCCGAAACGAATTTTTGAAATTTTTCACAAGAGGTGAACAGTACACGTCTGGCAACGTTCAGGCCATATTTCGTCGGTTTTCGGCTCGATTTTGGAGTGGCCAATTTGGGGCTTTTGTAACACTCTAAATGGGCTTTTTTTTTACTATAAGTTTGCTAGGATCGGAGTTTGATGGAAAGAGTTTTGACGCGATCAAGTTTCGCCGTGCGGATGGTTTGGATAATCGCTTTGGATGAGCAATTTGTGGACGCTTTTGAGTTATCTTGTTAGCGTTTAAGAATCATTTAGCCAGTTCGTAGATATCGTAGTATTTTACTTGGTTTTGACGTCGATTCTCGTTTAATTGTTAGGATTACAAGATCGTCCGTTTGAGTGAGCGTCGTTATTTGATTTTTGGGGATTCTAGGTGAGTGGTGCTATCTCTTCTTTGAGTTTGTAAACTCATATTTCGAAAGCAATATGAGTCACATATGTTATAAGTTAAATAGCATTATTATTGCATAAAAGCTCGGATTGGGCATTTACTACCCTATTGATTATTTGAAATGGCATGGTAAAGCATTTCTGGAAATGAATTATATATCGATTATCGTGAAATGAATTGAGGAAATCCTTTATGAAAAGAATTCTTTTGTTTTATGAAAAGAATTCTTTTGTAGAAGGTTATACATATTGATTTATGAAGAATTATGAAATGGTTATGGAAACATATTATGAAATGTGTCATGAAAGTTTATATATATATTGTCTTGTGAAGCTGGGTTATGAATGATTTGAGAAATGGTTGAGAAAATGGCGGATGGGCTATGTTGTGAAAAGTTAATTGTTTGGTTTATGAGATCGATTTTCAGATTGGATTTTTGGTATTGGAAAATGATTATTTGATGCTCAATATCGTTGTGAGCCCATTGAAGGGCTTGGGAGTATGCATATCGAGTTTAGGATATCCTTTTGGGCCGAGCCACCGGCTTTGTAGGTGGAGACCTTGCCGAGGGGGGAATCTTGGGCTGCGCATGACAACCATTCTGTGTGTGGGAACAAATTCTGCTCAGAAATGATTCTTTTTTATTTTGTGTCCAGAAATAATTTCTAAGCATTTAAAGGCGTTTGGTAACTGCCCAGAATTTCTATTC